AAAAAAAAAAAAGAGTTTGACTTTAGACATGTTAACTTTGAAATAACAATTATGTATCTAAGAGGAGACATCAAAAAGGCAGTTAACAGAAATGTCTAGAGTTCAGGGAAGAGGTGAGAAATGGAACCACAAATTTGAGAGTTCTCAGCTACAAAAAGTAGTGTTTGAAAGCCATAGAATCAATTAAGTAATCTAGATAGTAACTGTAGATAGAGACAAGAAAAAGTCTGAGATTCACTGATCCCTTAAACATCCCTTCTAAATCTGTTAAATCTAAATATCCCCCAAACCTGCAAAGGTCACTATGCAAATTGAAACTAAACCATGGAAAAAAGGAGATGGTGATGGGGAGGAGAGAAAGATGGGTGCTATCCACAGTTCCTTGATGTAATACATAGCTTTAAATTAACTTACCCTGGATTTGCTTCATTATTCATTAACTCATAATATAGGTTGATTATACCCAAAATTTCTTGCATTCGTATACTTGAAGGTCCAGAATGTCTCAAATGAGAAATTTCTTACTATCTTGTTTATTCCATGACTCGTTAGAAGTATGATCTATATGAATTTTTAAACCTAGAAAAGTCTGTCATAATTTATTTCTTATGACTCAATCTTGAAAACGTTTAAAGCAAGGGATTGTTTTGTGCTAAGGATTAAAATGAACCTTTCGTATTAATAAACATAATTTGAATTTTACCCTTCGAGTGACTTTTCTCTAAAAAGGAGTTCTTACTCTAGCCAGGGCAATGTTAAGCTCCTCTGTTGCTCTGCAGACAACCGTGTGGGCAACTGCTACTTGAAGTTTGGTCCTCGAGGAGACGGGAGTCTGTCGTGCAACACCGAGATTGGGGTGGGCGTCAGCCGTTCCTCGTGCTGCTGCTCCCTGGGGAAGGCCTGGGGGAACCCCTGCGAGACGTGCCCCCCTGTCAATAGCAGTAAGTATGGAGCTGAAGAAGAGGAAGGGAACATACTAGCAATTCTAAAGACTAGTTGCCATGTTATTCTTGGGCTGGGGACAGGGGAAGTAGTGAAGTTAAAAAAAAAAAAAAAGAATTTGGATTACTTTCAGTGAATATGCTGAAACCTGCCAAGAGTATTTTGGCAAAAAAAAAAAGAATTTGGATTACTTTCAGTGAATATGCTGAAACCTGCCAAGAGTATTTTGTATAAATGGAATTTGAATTCCTCTCTTTCTGTTGTTTTTCACAGTATGTTAAGAAAAATATTTTAACCACAACCCACTGTGAATGGTAATAATATCAGTTCTTCATGGTGTCATAGACAAAGGTCATTTGTTCTTCTCAGAGCTTATTTAGTTCAGGTTCATGGGTGTGTTGTATTCCTAAAGTCAATTGTAGAATGCCTTAAATTGAAATATATGTTCCCATATGAACATGAGCTGAAATCTTTGTACCATAGAGTCTCTTTTAGTTTTTATTTACTAGCCAAAAAAGTTGTGATATAAATTGTCTGCAAGGAAGTTTTTTCTTTAATTAAAAGTAAATGGTTTTTGTTGTTCTGCTGTATATATGATTTATGAAGTAATGATCTTTTTTCAAGAAAAAGATAATATATATTACTTTAAGTGTATTTGAAAGGACACTAAGAAAAACGTGGATATGTGTGTGTTTTGAGCCTGGTGTTGCTCAATGCTTGCTCATTGTCTCAGCCACATGAACACAGCTGTCAAGTCCTTCTTTTCCATTGTTTTTGTAGCTGAATATTACACCCTGTGTCCTGGAGGTGAAGGCTTCAGACCTAACCCCATCACAATCATCTTAGAAGGTGAGCTAATCTCTAATCGTCACCTAGATTTAAACAAGGTAAAGAGTTTATTTTTGAGAAAAGCTGATGAAAAAAAAGTTAGTGCAGAGCAGTCCCAACAAGACTATTTACTACAACTACAAATGGGCAATCAGTTACTAGTATGTTAAATAACTACTTTTATCAAGAAGTAATGATTCACTGCAGTGATCTGATGTCTGACTTTCCGCAGGGAAACTCTCTTTACCATTATCCCCCACCTAGAATCATCCCAACCTTGCTTTTATCACTCTTCTCAGTTAAAGGCAAAATTCCATGACAAAGCCAAGAAAAAAACAGTATAAATATGCATTCACCCAAATGAATGCACACTTAGACGTAAGTCAAAATAAACCTACCATCTAAGTGTGCATTCATTTGTATGCATGGAAGTCTGCAGGTCTTCCAAGATCACGCATTTGAAAGCGTGACAAAGAGAATGTGCTGCTGCACGTATAATGTGGTGTTTGTAGTAAGTGAACTGTCTCCCCTTTTGTAGACATTGACGAATGCCAGGAGTTGCCAGGCCTCTGCCAGGGTGGAAACTGCATCAATACTTTCGGGAGCTTCCAGTGTGAGTGCCCACAAGGCTACTACCTCAGCGAGGAAACCCGCATCTGCGAAGGTGAAGTGAATTGATGCCTAAAAATGCTTAGCGCTAAAAACAAACAAACAAACAAAATAAATAAATAAAATAAAAAAATAAAAATGCTTAGTGCTGTATAAAACAAAATGACTGCTCAGGCTGATGCCTAAAAATGCTTAGCGCTAAAAACAAACAAACAAACAAAATAAATAAAATAAAAAAATAAAAATGCTTAGTGCTGTATAAAACAAAATGACTGCTCAGGCCTGGGGAAAAGGCTCATTCTCAAATTCTGTCAAAGGCTCTGTTGCTAAGTTGTAGGATGAAAGATAAATTAATTTACAGCTCATGAGCTGTAACTTCCTGTTATTTTTCTGAGGGTTGATTAAATATAAATGGGGAAAATGGAGTAGTGTGAAAACATACAATATCAAATAAATTATTTGTTCAAATATTGATAAGAATTACAATAAGCTTAAATGTGGCTGTTGAATTAATGTTGTTCAGTAATGTTTAAATGCTGGACTACATGGCATGAAGAAGTTCGAGGGTTGTGCAGATGCCTTTCTTGCTTCCACCCCTCATTTATCACGTGGCATTATAATCATCCTTTTAGGGGCCTGTCTTGCTGGACTGGGGGCTTGGAGGCAAAGTCCACATCTAATACATCTTTATAGCTACAAGTTCCAGCTTACAACAGAATCTCAGTATTTATTTCTGGAATGAATGAATGCTTCTAAAAAAGAACATCAAACATGTAGCATAGTTATTTCCATTATAACCTTTCCTTTGGAACATGTTAAATAAATGCATCTGGAAGAAATATGATTTAATAAAGAAAACAACCAGCAGCTGCACTGCTTCTAGAATCTCTGAATGGGTACTAATTTGAAAGGAGCGACAAAGATAAAGGCTCTCCTAACCTGCATTCCATTTAAAGTTGGCATTAAAACTTAGTTTAAATGACATAAGAGGAAAGCAGGCTTTAAAGAAATTCCGTTTGAAGAATGTGAATTTCACTAGAAAAACATATATCAGTACTATGTAAATTATTTTTCCCACTTTAGAATAATTTATTTTGATGACTTATATTTTTTAATGTTGGGGTTTTTTTCTTTTGAAGAAAGATACACATATAAATGCATATTTGGGGCTATTTTCTTTATTTCTACATTTTGTATAAATATGGATTTTGAGAATCATCTTTACTTTATTCCGTAGTTCAAATAATATAAATTTTTTGAAAATTTATTTAATATAATTTATTAATTAATGGATATTCGTGCCTCGTCTAGATATTGATGAGTGTTTTGCACATCCTGGTGTGTGTGGGCCTGGGACCTGCTATAACACCCTGGGAAACTACACCTGCATTTGCCCACCTGAATACATGCAGGTCAATGGAGGTCACAACTGCATGGGTAGGTAAATGTCTCTGAGATTAATCAATCAGGTCACAGTTGTTGACTTCACATATAAGGCACTTGTGTCTCAGAATTATTGTTCAAGAAAGTTTGGAAATTAAATTTTCATGAATGATGAAGTATTTCAGTCTTATAAACTGCTGGCTCTGTTTCAAGTTTTTGACCTTTGACATGCAGTTACATTTTAAAATGTATGAGTCTAAGGTAGAAAATTTTATCAAATGTTGAAGTTGTATATTCTTAAATAATTTTTATTTTCCATTCATATAAAGTGAACATTATTATACAAATAAGAGAACATTTAAAACTTAATTCTTAATACTTTTTAAATTAAATAAGTGCCTTTGATTAGAGAAACAAATATGTATTAGCATTGTCTTCTAAGAAAACTGAGTGAAATTCCTTATCTAAACACAAGAGAAATGTTAATCTAATGGTGATCTATGTTCAAATTGAAGAGGTGTTTTAAGATACCTGCATTTGACTGAGAAATTATTCAGAGTCATTAATCAAGAAAGTATTCGGGCTTTGTTATTAACTGCTTGCTGTTATGACTGGCTAGCCTATTTGTTTTTCTCTGTGTAGACATGAGAAAAAGCTTTTGCTACCGAAGCTATAATGGAACCACTTGTGAAAACGAGTTACCTTTTAATGTGACAAAGAGGATGTGCTGCTGCACATATAATGTGGGCAAAGCCTGGAACAAACCTTGTGAACCATGCCCAACACCAGGAACAGGTAAGCACACAGCTATGCTTCTGTTGAAGGCCGAGTCAGTGATGATACAGACATATGTGTAACAGTATAGTAGAAGTCAATGTGTACTAAAACCAGAGATTCTCAGTTCTGAAAATATCTGAGACTATCATATGGTTCACATTCCCAAGTGGCCCTCTTTGGAATTCAAACACTAATTTCCGAGACATATGTTGAATAGGCTTTGGGAATCTAAAAATAGGCTCCATTGCTGAAGAGTTAGAATTTATAGTCTTGATACACTTAAATTCATTATCTTAAACCTTGCTGCTCATTTAGTGATTTATTCATCCAAAAAGTATTTAACGAGCTTCTACTGTGTGTCACTGTGCTAGGCATGGAAGGTTAATATTTTGATTACAAACTTATGGTAATTTGGGCCTGCTCTGTGGCTCACTTGGGTGAGTGTGGTGCTGTTAGCACCGAGGCCACAGGTTTGGATCCTAAATGGGGATGGCCAGTGCACTCACTGGCTGATCGTAATGCGGACGACACCAAGCCAAGGGTTGTGATCCCCTTACCGGTCAAAAAAAAAAAAAAACTTATGGTAATTTAAAAGCCATCAAATTTAGTAAGTATCTTTATTTTGGTTTAATCTTTAAAAATATGCAAAAAAATGTATTTGATGAATACATTTACATGTTTGATGAAACTTTACATAAAAACAACTTATTATCAAAGTGTTGCTTATATGAGGAGCTGAGGGCAACCCTCTCTGCCCAGAGGCAAGAGAGCACATTCAGGGTCATAAGGCAAGAGGTGAGGTGAGGGCAGCCCCCCCTCCACCCAGAAGCAGGCAAGGAGCACACCAAAAGCACCACTTGTATGAGGGTGCCCCACCATACCCACCACCACCGCCACAGCTGCCATGAAAGCAGCTCAATGCCACAGCAGTAGCCACAGCTATTGTGTAGGCAGCCTCCACCCAGAAGCAGGCAAGGAGCACACCAAAAGCACCACTTGTATGAGGGTGCCCCACCATACCCACCACCACCACCACAGCTGCCATGAAAGCAGCTCAATGCCACAGCAGTAGCCACAGCTATTGTGTAGGCAGCCTGCCAGCCATTCAACTGTATTGACACAAGGAGAGTCAGAAGCAGGGACCAGAAAAAGAAGAGGACATCTCTCTCCTCAAAGCCTACTCCAGAGTAATAGAAGGAACTGCCCTACCAGATGACCAGACATCAATGTAGAGATACTAGAAATACAAAAACCCAAGAAAATATGACACCACCAAAAGAATGTAGCAGTTCTCAAATATCAGACCCTGTAGAGCAGGAAACCCTTGAAATTACTGAAAAGGAATTCCAAGCAGCAATCTTAAGGAAACTTACTGAGATATGAGAAGATTCAGTGAGACAACATAATGAAAAAAGGAAAAAAATCCAGGATATGAAGGAGGAAATTTACAAAGAGATTAATACCTTTAAAAAGAACGTAGCAGAATTCATGGACCTGAAAGATTCACTACCAAAATGAAAAACACAACCTAGAGCTTAATTAGCAGGCTAGAAGAAGCAGAAGAAAGAATTTCTGATATCAAAGATAGTCTTTTTGAAATAACCCAGGCAGATGAAGAAAAAAAGGAAAAAAGAATTTTTAAAAAATGAATAAAATCTAAGAGAACTAGCAGACAACCTTAAACATTCAAAGCATGGGTGTTCCAGAAGGGGAGGAGAAAGGGAAAGGCATGGAAAGCCTATTCAGTGAACTAATTGTAGAAAACTTCCCAGGTATAGAGAGAGACATGGACCTTCAGATCCAGGAGGCTCAAAGATCCCCAAACAAATTCAACCCCAAAAGATCCTCTCCAAGACAGTTTGTAGTCAAACTGGCAAAGTTCAAAGACAAATAGGAGTCTTAAAAGAAGCAAGAGAAGTGTCAAGTCACTTCTAACGGAGCCCCTATCAGACTAACAGCAGACTTCTCAACAGAAAGTCTACAGGCCAGAAGAAAATGGGATGATATATTCAAAATACTAAAAGAAAAAACTGCCAGTGAAGAATACTATACCTAGCAAGGCTGTCCTTCAGAAATGAGGGAAAGTAGTGTATTTTTCAAACAGACAAAAACTGCAGGAGTTCACCACCACATGAACAGCCCTGTAAGAAATCCTCAAGAAATTCCTGCATTTGGAATCTGAAAATGATAAACACTACCACGAATACACAAGAAAGAAAAAAACCGGCCAGTAGAACAAAAATGCAAACGAGAAAGAGAAAGAAACAATCTTACCACCACAAAAGAACCATAATGACAATGGAATAATGCCCCTGCTTTATTTCTGATTTGAGTAATTTTGGTCTTCTCTCTTTCTTATTCACTAGTTTGAGGAATTAAAATACCACTTTCTTTGTTAGAGGACATGAAGGGCCTAGCTTTGAGAGACAGGTCTATGTTCAAATCAAAGCCCTGCCACTTATTGTGTGACCTCATGTAGCGTATTTACGCTTTCTGAAACTGATTCCTCACATATAAAATAGGGAGAATAAATAAATAATGTTAGTGACTAATTCACATGGTTGTAATGATGATTAATGAGATGATATATATAAATTATAATTTGCACATTGCCAGGCAATTAGAAACCATTAAATTAAGCGTCTGTTATTGGCCTCTATTTGTTCTGGATGTGCAGTGTGTATTGGTGGATGAAATATACAAGATCCCTGCCCCGATAGTACTTGGTGTATAATGTGCAGTACAAGGTTTACCTAATACTGTTTTCAGGAGTTTTACTCACTTGTGTAGCAGTGGCCATCAGAAGCATTTTGCTTCTTAAAAATCAGAATTCTTTTAAATTCCCACTGATTTGATGAATTATGTGTAGAAGTAACTCCTATAGTCTCTATTTTATTTCATGATGCATTGTTTTTGATGCTTCAAATTTCACGTTCTGACAAATAGACATTTATGGATAAAAAGACAAAATTCATGTCTCATTCATTATTCATTATTAACCTGTTTCTTCACTACAAATTATTTCTGTGTGTCTGTGCCTTTGTGAAATTCATAATACCTTTATACTTGTACTCTAATCTGTTTAAATTTGATTGTTTTTAAAACTTTGCAGATCAAAAGAAAAAAAGAATTTAATTCCCTAAGTAGATGTTTGAAATCTTGTAATGACTACCGTACCTACTAATGTCAGAGCAGTAAAAAGTTAATGATAATAATAATAACAGTAATAGTAGTGGTAAAGAATGCAATGACTAGACCCACGCCTTGCAAGAAGCTGCCATTGTTATCAAATAAATATAACAAATTAACTTGTCACAACTTGTTTGGTTGTGAATAATATAAATATATTAATTTGTGAAAGTAATATTATATAAAATGTTATTTTGAAGGTGTTTGAAAATTTTAACACTGCATTCCTTTGTTTATATTTTAAAGCTGACTTTAAAACCATATGTGGGAATATTCCTGGATTCACCTTTGACATTCACACAGGAAAAGCTGTTGGTGAGTTTTTCCAGATTATTTTCAATACATTTATGTAACATTTTATAAAAATCTATATGTTCATTGTTTTTTTAAAATTCAAGAGTATCACAAAATATAGTAATCTGGATTCCAATCTCATATAGTTATATAAGAGAGAAATAATATACTTACAGACTTTAAAGTGTGAATAATGGTGTTATTACATCAGCATAAGCTGGTGATTGATTTATGATAGTTACATGACTATCTCAAGATTTCAGTTTTCTTTTGCACATTGCCAGGCAATTAGAAACCATTAAATTAAGCGTCTGTTATTGGCCTCTATTTGTTCTGGATGTGCAGTGTGTATTGGTGGATGAAATATACAAGATCCCTGCCCCGATAGTACTTGGTGTATAATGTGCAGTACAAGGTTTACCTAATACTGTTTTCAGTTTGTCGTGCATCTTGTATTACAACATGGCTAAATTATTCACCGTATTTTAACCTATTTTCACAAGTCCATGTTTAAGTTTTTGATGTATTTTGGCAGTATACCTTTCTACTGGTCAAATTTTGAATTTGCAGAATTATTTATACAAATTACTTCTTTTAGAATGTACTTTCTGTTGCTCACTCTATTTTTCTTCCTTAAAGATTTAATAAGCAATGTAGTTTTAAGGCTCCATTATGAATATATATGTAACAAAATATATAAAATTAAGAAAACATAACTTTCTTTGTCAGATGAATAGTGTCAGTTAGGGTAACCTGACATATAACTTGAAGAGGGGGCCTGATTTCCTAGGCAGTTTATTGCTATACTGACTATAAAATCACTTGGTATATTTTATCAGCTACTTAAATTTTTCCGTCACTGTTAGGAGGAACTAATCTATTTTATGGTGCATATGTTTGCATAAACCACAAATTCGTTTAATGCCAGTATATAATTGATTTTTCTGACACTGAATGTGTGTCCTCATACCAGGCTACACACACATTATTTGAGGTTTTGTGGTAAGTTCGTTAAGCAGATCCACATATATTTGACCAAATCTGTTCAATTTCAGACATCGATGAATGTAAAGAGATTCCAGGCATTTGTGCAAATGGTGTATGCATTAACCAGATTGGCAGTTTCCGCTGTGAATGCCCTACAGGATTCAGTTACAATGATCTGCTCTTGGTCTGTGAAGGTAATCCGAATAATTTATGTCCTTCATCCAGAAAAGTGGGGTATACGTAAATAGCTTTTAGACAGTATTCTGATTTTTACTGTTTTTTTCCCTGTAATTATTCAAGAGTTGATCATTAAGGTTGTGAAGTGACTGTAATCCTAATGCACTAGTGAGAGACTCTTCAGAATGGAATTGTTGCTCTTTCAGATATTGACGAGTGCAGCAATGGCGATAACCTCTGCCAGCGAAACGCAGACTGCATCAACAGCCCCGGCAGTTACCGCTGCGAATGTGCGGCGGGCTTCAAACTTTCACCCAATGGGGCCTGTGTGGGTAAGCAGGAGGCTGATTCATTCATTGGCATGGAACACATGACATGCTTTCCTATGAAAAAATATCTTCAAGAATAACTTTGAAAAGAATTCCTAACTCAATCTATTCATTTATGGTGAACCTATGTCACCATAATTTTTAGATTATTTTGCTAGGAAAAGAGGTCTCTTGAATGGATTTCCCTAGGGTTGTCCTTGAAATAGTATCCTTGAAATACCAATCAACATCAAAAATTGCATGATTAAAAAAAGAGGCTTGGATACATTAAAGACTTACTTATTTTGGTTAAGCTGTTGCTGTGATTCACTTTCAGCCTGTCTGTAATAATTAATAGCTGGTTAGAGAATCACATCTGTGAAAAATGAAAGAATCTTAATAAAAATCAGATACGTGTAACATATGTTCCTTTTTTTTATTCTAGATCGCAATGAATGTTTAGAAATTCCTAATGTTTGCAGTCATGGCCTATGCGTTGATTTGCAAGGAGGTTACCAGTGCATCTGTCACAATGGCTTTAAAGCTTCTCAGGACCAGACCATGTGCATGGGTAAGAAGGATGTTTACTTCCAGGCAGTGAAGTGGGTCTGAGACTCCAGAATAAATTATAGTTATGTCACGTGCTATGCATAACTACCTGTCTCGGTAAGAAACGGTCTTGCAAAAAGTTAACCATGTTAAACTGTTTAAGCTTTAGTCAATCTAAAATTTGCAAGCAGGGACAAAAGACAATATGTTCTTAAGTTTAGTGATTCTCAACCTTTTTCCCCAGCACATGTTCACATGGCTTGCCCTGAACTCTGAGACACTTGAGGTTATGTGGAATTTGCCACAATACCAGCTGCCCTTTACCTCTTGTATGTTCCCACTCAAGAAAACATTTTAGGATACAAGGGCGTAGTAAGAGTGACAGTATTAAAATGAATATATTTACACACACACACACTTATTTTACACAAATTATTGAATACATGGAGTTTACCTACATCTTTTGTGTTTTATCTTTTGTGTTTAAAAATAATTTTAAATGCAAATATGACTAAACTCTTTAAAAATTCTCAGTAGCTACAATGGTCAGTAAAGTGATAATAGTGCTTAGTAAGTGCTTGCTGAACTGATAATCAGTACATTTTCAAAGGCAAATGGACTGGATGCCTTAAGGCTGGGACTGAGCCTAACTCCTCAAGTCCGATGTCCACAATTGGTGCTCCCTGTGCAAAAGAGTTCTCTCTCTATGCTTTGCACTTGAAGGAGGAAAATTACATTTAAAACTTGGCTGTTTATGATTAGCATGTTCTCAGTGTAGAAGAAGCTAGGCTTGTACATCTACTCTTTTGGTATTCCAGATACTATGTGTGTGAATATCAAAGTCAGGTTTCAGTAACTACAGAACTAGTTTCCTTTATGGCGTGTCTGCACAACACGGAATCCCTGGAGAGCGGCTCCATTCATTCCTCACTTCCTTAGAGACCCCCTGTGGACTTCCCATGATGACAGGAAAAATGCTGTAGGTGATGCTTGTGCAAAGGAAAATACAGGAGCTGGTCCTGTTTGCGTGAACTTTCTGAGAATGCTTGCTTACACATACTTCTTTCTATACTCCCTGAGAGAGTATGATTTACTAGAAAATATGTGAGATTTATGATTCAGAAATTCATATGGAGAAAATCTGCCCTCATTCATAACAGTTCTTCCATGATAAAACTCAGTCAGACTCCTTGGCAAGACCTCCCTTAAACAGAGTTTCCTGCCTGAAGAACAACACCATTTTTTTTTTTTTTTTTGCATGATAGTATTTCAGCACCCTGGAATTCATAGCTTGGGGAATCTGCTGTTTCATATGATGGATGACCTTTCTAAATATTTTCTTAATTCCGTTTTTTGGAAGGCTAATATTAAATTCTACAACTTGGGTTCCACTCCTTCACAAAATTAAGGAAACTAAAGTTTATCTTTGATTTCCTGATCAAATTAAGGTATTTCTATGTATGGGCAAGTGTTTATAATGCTGAATAGAACAGTCTAAATATTTTCTTAATTCGGTTTTTTGGAAGGCTAATATTAAATTCTACAACTTGGGTTCCAGTCCTTTACAAAATTAAGGAAACTAAAGTTTATCTTTGGTTTCCTGATCAAATTAAGGTATTTCTATGTATGGGCAAGTGTTTATAATGCTGAATAGAACAAATTATTCTAACATTTCAAAAGATCGGTTTACTTACAATTGATAAGCAAACCTGCTCATTCAAACATCTCTGCAAAGAGGATGCTTGCTTAGACTACTTCTAATAATTGTATGTGTCTGTAAGTAATTAAACTGCACCTTTTTCTTATAATTTTATGATTTTGATTTTTTTTTACCTTGTATTCATTTTCCTTAAGTAAATATGGGTTTCTAGTACTGAGTGAGGAAAATCTAAATAATTCAATAGTTTAAAAAACATAAAAGATTAACCACCTATTTTTTTCTAGTTAAAACTTGAATTCCTTTGAGCCAGTGTTTCATTGCAGATGTTGATGAGTGTGAGCGGCATCCCTGTGGAAATGGAACTTGTAAAAACACCGTTGGATCCTATAACTGTCTGTGCTACCCAGGGTTTGAACTCACTCATAATAACGATTGCCTAGGTAAGTATTTCAGTTAGTCCTTTATTGCTTCTAGTTCATTTTCATACAAGATACCAAAAAAAAAAAGTAACAAGAAACAAAAAATTTTCCATTATTAAAATTGAAAATGTGTGCCTGAAGTTATGTAATATCATCATCTAACTAACTAAATCCATAGTATTGGCCTAAATAATCACAAGACAATGTACTATTTGAGCACTTCGGTCATTCAACCAATTGGTTCAAGAGAAAAGGCCATTTAAATGACAGTAAACATATTGGGGCTGATTTATGATTTGGGGCATTTTTACCCCTTAGATAGGATAGAAGATAGACACTTCATTGTTTCAGTGGTATTAGAAGTATTTCACATAAATTCATTCTTGATTTACATTCAAATACCAGTAGCCTCCTACTTAGAATAAACATGTCATGTCTTGAAATTCCATTTGCCATCAGCTTTTGAAGCCAGTATGCCTTTCCCCACAAAAATAGTGCATGGTGACTAGGTTTCCAGGTCAACCCTCAGAAACCTCTCCTGTGCACGATACAGGATTTTAGCCTTTGGCTCACATTAACACACAAATATGAAATGAGAATTGATAGGGAGTGGGGCAAGTTCCCAAAGTGGTGGAGGAGATAATGAGAGAAATGACAGTGAATGTTTATTTTTTGTTTACCTTGTGCCAGGCACTATGCTGGTGTTTTAATTTACATGACCCCGCAAGGTGTATGAAAGTAACTCAGGTTTTCTACCATGTGGGAACATCATGGCACAACCCCACCTCCTAATTTAAACCTACCTGTGTTTCCCTTGGTTTTCTTTGTTTTTCAAAGTCTTGCAACTGTGAGAAAATTCTAGAGTTAATTGGACGTTTTATTCAACTACCACCCTTTTTAACTATAGTTTCTCAGACCCTTTGTACAGTCAGGGAGAACTAAAGATACAGTCACGGCTGTGATCAAAGTACAGTCTTCAAACAACCCAGGAAATTACTCAAATGTAATCAACCCTAAGTTTAACTGAAAACCTAACACTTAATGGTCTTCTCTTTTTCCAAATTATGTATTATGTCAACAATTTTAGAGTGTCTTTAATATAATTGATCTTTCTGTATTTAATATGATCATTTGTTTGTCCTTTGAATATGGATAGCTTATCTCCAAGGAAAGTATGTGCAAATTAGGCAATCAAGTTAAATCTCATACATACCATTGCCTCTGGGAAAAGAAATAACTTAAACCTTCAATTTTTATCTGGTTATAAATTTATGAGTTATATCAACATCAAAAATGTACTTGTGATTGAAATACAGTAGGGATCTATGTGACCTTATTAGTGACATGATCCTTATGAAATATGCCATTTTTCTCTGTGTTGATGAGGAATCGTAACGTAGGGCTTTTGTAAATGTATGCCAGTAAGTACGTTTTTAAGTTGCGATTCATGAAACACTGTGTATGTAAGGCTGTCTCTGAAAACCTAACTCCTGTTTGCTTACAGACATAGATGAGTGCAGTTCCTTTTTTGGTCAGGTGTGCAGAAATGGACGGTGTTTCAATGAAATTGGCTCCTTCAAGTGTTTATGCAATGAAGGTTACGAACTTACCCCAGATGGCAAAAACTGTATAGGTAAGTATCTAAACAATAAACAGGTGTTATGGTGTTTTGTTTTGTAAGATAACGATGGGAATCCTCCACCACCACCACCACCACCACCTTATTCTGAGGTCCACACTTGTTCAGTATAGTCAGTACAGGCTGTAGAAAAACACTGAGTTGCAACCCTGCGAGCTTGCTTACCTAAGGAATTAAACATAGAGCTGCCTACATCTGTTTTATTGAACCATCAGAGACGATTTGATGGTGGAGTGGTGGGAATAAAAGCCTAAAGGGTGTGGGATTTTTCATTAACAGAAATCTTATGCTAGTCAAAGAATTTTCGGCATACTCTAATCTTTTTTCCAAATGTCAACAGACTTTCTACTGAATTTAAAGAGTGTCTACAAAAATTGTAATCTTTGGCAACCAATTTTAAAACAGCTATTAAAGGTGTCTAGAGTCCCAGAAATGTGAAGCAGAAAATCTTGACAATGCTGTTGAGACTTTTTTCCCCCCTTGGGAAGGCCTCATGTCAAAACAGAAAATATTAATCCGTTTGTCGTAACAGATGTTTTTGTGTTGAAACTCTTCCAACACACAAGAACACTGTAACCACATCAAAAGTGGGTCCCAGAATTGCCCGGTGGACATGATGAAGGTTGTCCTTTTTACAATTCATTTTATTTTACTTTTATACAAATTATTTTTTACAGCCTTGTTGAAATTCAGAAGCACCAGCATCTTAGTGTGGTTTTTCTAACTTGAGAGGGTTGCTAAGATTTTTTTACCTTTGAGTTATCCAATTTTTTAAAAAATTGTATCACTCTTGGCAACATTTCATCTAAAGATATGTAGCTCTCCTGTTCTCATTCAAGGGAGTTATATAGACAGAGCTGAAGGAAGCAGTTTACTTCTTAGAATTTAACTATTTTTCAGATCAAATAATGAGATATTACGGGTATCCCTAGTCATTCTGATTTTCTGTTCATTGTAAGATTATCTAGTGTTTTTAATACCTAAATATAATAATACTAGAATCATCCTAGTGAGAAGTTTCTTGAAGAGTTTAAGATCCTCTCTTTCATTTTCGTTTTTCATATTTAATCATGATTCTTCATTGTCTCCGTGATTCATCTGCTCATGAAAGGGTAATAGCCGCTGTATGTTAACCACTAGGAGGGAAATAGAAATACGTATGCTTTGTATCAGATAGTGTTGGCTGCCTTTTAGTGAAACTATATCTATGATTGAGTTAAATTTTATTAAATTTCTGAAATATTTTCTTTTCTCTATCCATTATCAGCAGTGCCACTATTTTGCATCTCTGAAAAACTGGTATTTAACTAACTTACTTTACTATAAGAATATTTCCTTCAGATTAGTATGTCTTCTACCAATTTTTCTCAGATGAAATCCTTCCTAACACGGCCGTACACACACTCACACATAGATGTGTGTGCACACACACACCCACACACCCCATAGGCACACATATAAATCCATTCGTACATTCAGTGAGCATTACAGTGAACACTTGGGGGTGCCTTCTAGGTGCTGGAAATACAGAAATAGTCTGCCTTGGGTAACTTACTGCTTAATGGGAGAGACCGTGTTTTATAGATAAGTAAACCTGTTTTGAAAAGACATCCTTATAATACAATCTGACAAGCATTGTACTGGAGGTATGTTCAAGATATGGGAGCACAGTAGGAGGTTATGAATAATTATGGAGGTGGTGATAGGATGGTGTGTCAAGGAGGCTCGCCACAAAAGATCGGTAACATTTTAGGTCACTCAAATGTAGAGAATGAATTTATTAATCAGAGAAGCAAAGAGAACAGAAGAGGCTCTTTGAGAATACAGGCAACGTGAGCACAGTAAGGGGCATCGAATGGCTGACTAAGAAGACGGAACTTACTGCTCTAGGCAGTGTGGAGCCATTGAAGGGGTTGTTTTTTTGTTTGGTTTTTGGTTTTTGCTTGTGTTTTTGTTTTTTTTAGAAGGGATATGATACGACTCATTTATTAAATTTCTGCAAATATGAATTGAGAACTTAGTATGTGCCAGGACACCATGCTAGGAGCTGGGGGTTCAGCTGTGAACTAGACAGACGTCACTCAGGTCCTCATGGATTTTACATTCTAATGTGCCTGAAATTGTGTAACATGTATTTATTTAGTTTAAATGACCCATTAAATAAGCACTTCCCATGAAAAAAAAAATCACTGGTAAGGTATATTCATTTATTTTAAGGAACCATTCTGGGATCAGGGAAGAATGATAACATTCTCAAAATAAGTCTGAGTTCTAGTTCCATAGGCACAGATTTTCAAATATAATCACATGTATGTTTGAGAAGGGGAGCCCCGGTGACAATGTGAAGAGAAGAAGAAAGGGGACTTGCAGAAGTCAGTTAAGAGACTTACGGTGACCCAGGTGGCAAATGATGGATGGCTTGGAAGTACTGAGGAGGTAGAACTGGCAGGCCACATGTTGCTTGCATGTGAAGGTTCGAAGGTCAGGGGCAGAAATAAGGGTGACTCCAGGATCCCAATTTGGGTCATAGGGAAAAGCGTCGGGGAGGGGAATCAGTCAGTAGAACACGTTTGGCCACATTGAGTCTGCAGTGCATGTGAGATGTTGAGCGGGTCGTGTCAGGTAGACAGGTGGACATACACACACCTAGAAATCAAGTGTGCAAAGCTGGACCTGGGCTTGGGACTCTCCAACACATGGTTGCTTGAAACTGGTGAAACTGGATATAATGTTCGATTTTTGAAGCAATAATAGTTTTTTGATTTTGAGAGTTTTTTTTGTTTTGTTTTGTTTCGGTTTGGTTTGGTTTTGGTTTTTGTGGCTGGCAGGTAGGGGGGTCTGAATCTGTGACTTTGGTGTTATAAGGCCATGCTCTAATCAACTGAGCTAACTGGCCAACCTTAATAGTTTATTTTTTAAAGAATAAGTTAAACATACATGTAATGTAATCTCTTGTTTCATAATAAACATCCATTGGCTAGTGGACTAGTAGTATGGACAGCTATTTAATTTCAAATATTGAGCAGTGTGTTGACTTGATTGAACTGATAAATTCTCCCACTGTTCTGCAGATATAAACGAATGTGATGAAGATCCCAACATTTGTCTTTTTGGTTCCTGCACCAATACTCCAGGGGGCTTCCAGTGCATCTGCCCGCCTGGCTTTGTACTGTCTGATAACGGACGGAGATGCTTTGGTAAGGATTCCCCTGTCATAATTCACCCTCAGAAACTTCAAAGCTAGGTGGGAAACCATCATGCTGGTGTTTGGTGTGACAAAGTACATGTCTGTGGTAAATACATCATCCGTAAAGTAAAAATATAGGTCTCAAATAGACTTTTGAGACAAAAGTATACAATGGACAGAAGTATACACTGGACAATTTTTAAGGTACTTTGAATTATTGGCACTGTTTCTACATTTTTAAAAAATTTTATGCTAGAAGAAAAATTGTTATCTGATTCACCATTTTCATTTTGCTGCTGGCATAGTTTTTTTGTATGTCGGTGTATGAGTTGCTTTTGATGTGCTTTAACGTACTGAGAGTTACCTAGATTGTTTTTGTTAGGCTGCAATGTAACTGTGAAAAAAGAAAGATTCTGTGTGGAAATCATTTTAATATTGAGTATGCTGTCTCAAATTTCCTAAGCACATTATAAAAATAAACATTTTAAGTAATTGAATAAAATTGTATAGACAAGTCAATTTAAATGGGCAAATGAAATTAGCAATTGAGGATTTCCAGACCTGTCTTAATTGCTAATCGAACCTGCATGATGTGATCTGAGCATGAGAAACGTTCTGTCAGAAACAGTTATATGCAGATTACTCCATCTTTTCAAATGACTGGTAAGGAGCTCTGTAATGTTTGCTCTCCTCATTAGATACTCGCCAGAGCTTCTGCTTCACAAATTTTGAAAATGGGAAGTGTTCAGTACCCAAAGCTTTCAACACCACAAAAGCAAAATGCTGCTGTAGTAAGATGCCAGGAGAGGGCTGGGGGGACCCCTGTGAGCTGTGCCCCAAAGATGACGAAGGTAAGAGTGACAACATAAAATACTACTTTGAACCAGTTTTTTAATATTTTGAGGATGAAATTATCCTCTCACATATAAATTTTGATGGTTCACTGGGCAACCTAGTCTGAGGGACTTCTCTCACGTTTTTTGTAAACAACACATGTAAGCACAAACGGAGTTACCTTTTTATCTTATTCCCCCTGAGATTAGTGTTGATTGTTTTCAAAAGAATGGATCTAAGAGTGCAGGGCAGGAGATGCGAAAAGGGAATGCAAGTTATATTCCAAATTGCTGTGGGAGTCCCACATGGGTATTGTATCACAGGCTGTGACTCTTAGAATATTACGTACAATTTTGAGAAGCTGAGTCAGCACAATGGCTGTTTGCTGGAAGAGACCAACAGCCTCCCAGGTCTTATTAGCACCAGTGAATTGTAGGATAGTTCTCAGCAAGCTCGAACGGGCTTGTTCTGTAGATAAGCAGTGGCTTCTGTACTTAATGGGCAGAGAGGTCTCTTTGGCTACTCAGCATTAAATGAACAAACAGAAAGAACCAGGAGTCCTCAGTAGGTAGCACCCTGGAAGGACAAGCTTGGGTGGCCTTCTCTAAATAGGCTCAGTGTTGCTTTTGAAGTAAATCTAAAAATAAAATAAAAGGCTCTTGTTAAAAACAGCTCTGTAGAGGAAAGATAATTAAGTACAATTTCATGTGTGCATGCTGTTAATTGGTTCTTGTCTTCAATAATGGAAAATTCACATTTTTTTCTGTAGTTGCATTCCAGGATTTGTGTCCATATGGCCATGGAACTGTCCCTAGTCTTCATGATACACGTGAAGGTGTGCTTTGATATATGTTATCCCTATATTCTTCTTATTTCATACAAATATATTATTTTATATTTATTTTATAAATTGTACTAATTTTACTGTATAACATATAGTATTTTTTATTTAATGTACCTGTACAATATTTATTATGAATCATATGCATTATATATACCATAAGACTATGTCACCATATGTGAAATATATATTTCTCTGACAAAAGTATTTACATGTTTTATTAATTTGAAGTCTGTGTTGAATAGATATACACAACATTGGCCTATCTTTTTATATGAGGATGTTCATGGGCAGTTCTATGTTTTAGATGTCAATGAGTGTCTTGAGAGCCCAGGCATTTGTTCAAATGGTCAGTGTATCAACACCGATGGGTCTTTTCGCTGTGAATGTCCAATGGGCTACAACCTTGATTACACTGGAGTGCGTTGCGTGGGTGAGTGCTGGCTCCACTTTACACAACTTTAAAGTTGTATTTTATTTTTCATGTTCAGTGAAAGGTCTCTTAGGTACCCTGTATGGTGGTGGGATTTCCGAAGCCAGGATAAGTGGCTAGTAACAGTTCCTTCTTCACTCGTCCTACATTTTCCAGTCCCACCCAGTTTATGTGAAGATAGAGAGAGTTGTCCAACCTCTGTCTTCAACCAAATATATAAATTCTAATGTGTCTAGAGACTTAAAATTGCCAAAAGCTCTAATTAGGAGAGAGATCCATTTTACTTTATGACTTTCCATGTCTGCTCTTGAAGCAGAGAGTCACATCTGTCTTCTGGATTTGTGACCTTTAGGGCAAGCATTGCTGTCTGGGGGTCAGGGTTTTGCACACTGATCCTTCAGGGTCCTCTGTACCACATAAATGACAGCCAAACAAGGCCAAGGGGATGCAAGGGTCATTTGTGTCCTTCCCAGATCCTGAAAATGGGTGAGGGTTAGTGTGGGTCTTTCTGGGCATGCTCCTATTAAAATAAAATGTCTCCAGACTTTGTGGCACTTTTTTTTAATTTTTCAGATACTGATGAGTGTTCAATCGGCAACCCATGCGGAAATGGTACATGCACCAATGTTATTGGGAGTTTTGAATGCAATTGCAATGAAGGCTTTGAGCCAGGGCCCATGATGAATTGTGAAGGCAAGTAATCCCTGTCGTAAGCATTATTCGTTCTTGGTATATAATTATGCAATGTTTTTAACGTCCCAATCTTTACTTACATTGTTATGATGTTCTGCTGATCATCATATTCATCACAAATATATTTTCCTTTACTTCAAGTGAGCGCAGTTACAGTAGCAGCTCTAAAGCCCTTGACTGATAATTCTAGCATCTGGGTCATCTCAGGGTTGGCATATGTTGATAGGCTTTTCCCTTGAGATTGGATCACATTTTCCTGGCTCTTCAGAACATTGGTTAATTTTGGATTTATACCCTGGATATTGTGAATGATAGATTCTGGAATCACTTGTATTACTCTCAAGAATGTTGATACATTTGTCTTAGCAGACAATTAACTTCGGTAGACATAATAGCAGACTGTCAGGCCTCTGGAAGGTTGTTTCAGATTTCAGTTCTGCTCTTTAAACCTTAGAAGCTAGCTTCCTTGATTTTGCCTCACAAATGCCTGGTACAGTCAGCAATTTGTTCTGAGTATATAAAAAAAATAGTGTTTCTCCTTCCCTGTCCCTCTCCTTTCTAGGGTTCCCCTTACTTTTCAGCAGCCTTGGTTGCCCCAAGGCTCTCTACCCTGGTTCCTCTGAAAAGAATCTCAGAAAGTTTCTGTTGGAAATTTAGCTACCAAGTGCTGATACTACCAGGACAGTGGTCATTGACAGGGCAGTTTCAGAAAAAATATTTAAGAACAATGTGGAATTTCCTCCTTCCTCATTGTTTGTTCTGTTTCAACTCACCACTAAAAACTTCAGGTAGTTTGTATTTTTTTTCCAGAGTTTGTAGGTGTTATTTGTTGGAAAATGAGTTTGCTAGGTACCAAATTCTGCATACTCTAGGCTGAGCACATGCTTGTCCATTTCTTCGATCAGATATCAATGAATGTGCCCAGAACCCACTGCTCTGTGCTTTCCGCTGCATGAACACCTTTGGGTCCTATGAATGCACGTGTCCCATTGGCTATGCCCTCAGGGAAGACCAAAAGATGTGCAAAGGTAAGGCCACAGACAAGGGAACAAGTTAGAAATTTATTTACCATGCTGGAAATACATGTTAATGATTTTATAGTTTTCGGCTAACTTCTGCTAGAGCTTTACAGAAATATATATGACAACATTTTGCTGGTAGATTTTCATACCTAGTTAATAAGTTACCGGATTGCACAATCAAGTCAAAGACAAGATGTGTTGGGCCGGCCCGGTGGCGCACTGCTACAGTGCGCCGCTTGGGAGCGCGGTGGCACTCTCGCCGAGGGTTCGGATCCCACATACAGACCGGCCACTCACTGGCTGAGCGAGGTGCGGGAGCAACACCGAGGGTTGCAATCCCGTTGCCGGTTCCGGTCCAGTACGGGTGCGACACTGAGGGTTGCGATCCGTTGCCGGTCACGAAAAAAGACAAAAAGGAAAAAGAAAAAAAAGATAAGATGTGTTGAGAAGCCCACTGTTGTCATACTCTTGGGCTCTTACTAAAGCAAAGATTGCCATTCCCTGAACTTAACATTCAGAGTGATGCTGAAACTGTTATACATTGGAACATAGCAACAGTTGAAAAAGACAGGCTCCTCTCTCTGTCACACCGTAAGACTACATGTTAGGAGCCAGATGGCCAAAAATATTACATAAATGTACTAAACTATAGCCTGCTCTGGAGAATTTCCTATTTTTATTTTTTTCATATTAAAAATATTTTATAGATCTGGATGAATGTGCCGAAGGGTTGCATGACTGTGAATCTAGAGGCATGATGTGTAAGAATCTGATTGGCACCTTCATGTGTATCTGCCCCCCTGGAATGGCCCGAAGGCCTGATGGAGAAGGCTGTGTAGGTAAGCTTTAAAGGGTGGCATCTGCTTATGGAATGCCCCTACCCCAAGCTAAATTTATGCCCAAATCGTCTTAACGGCAAGCCAACAATTTTTTTCGGTGGTGTCAAAGATATGCCATAACTAGCTTTCTTCTATTTCAGGATTCATGCCAAGGTAATAGGTTCTGGATAATGCAGTGGCAGTTATGCCTGCCTGAGTATACTCCTACTTACCCTTTTGGTTTTTATACTCCTGTGTCCTATATATCTAAAACTCTAAATTTAGAAGTGTAGAAAAACTCCTTGAAAAAGTTCTGCTCATGTAGCAAAATAAAAGTATGAGGTAATGGTCTCATTGTTGTGTCATTCCATGAATGAAGGGAGCGTATCTAAAGAGCCAGATAATCTCCAGATCCTTGTTACAGGCTGGATCTCTGTGACTTTGTGACTTTGGCAATATATATATTTTTTAACGTATTTTGACCTCAGTTAAGTCATTTATAAAGGGAAGAGGTAGGTCTGTGACTTGATGATGCACGCCAAAGTCTCATGCTATGTAAGCTGGTCACAACCACTTCATTCATTATCTCAGCACTTCTTTCTAAAGTCGCTGTCACCTGGGACCCTGCAGCCCACTTCAAAGCCTTCCTCCTTCTTGAGAATAGGTGACTCCCCCTTCTTTAATTAAGAACCTGCTGCTCCCTTCCTAACCTCCAATACCTAGAAAAATACGGGTATTTATAGAGGAACATCTGAAGATTATTAATGATTTCTTATTTAAAAAAAAAAATACCAAAGTAAGAATAAGATTTCTTAAAAATGAATGTATTAGTGATTGCCTGGTGCCAGGGGTCAGAATGGGGAGTGACTGCAAATGGACACTAGGGAGCCCTGTAGAAGATGAAAATGTTCTAAAACTGGATTGCAGTGCTGGTTGCACAATCCTCTAACTTACTAAAAGTCATTGAGTTGTACACTTAAAACACATGAGTTTTATGGCATGTAAATTTTACTTCTGTAAAGCTTTTTCAAAAATATTCATCTGCCACAGGAAAAGAAATACAAGGATGTTCACTACAGTGCTGTTTGTAGTACCAAAAAAAAAAAAAAAGAAAAACTACCTCAATGTGCATTATAGAAGGAAAGGTAGATAAATTGGGGCATATGCATGCTATAAAGTATATAGCAGTTAAAATGAATAAGCTGTATGTGTGTATGTACTGATACAGAAAGAACTCTAAAATATAGTTAAAGAACAATATAATGCAAAGTGTCACATTTTAAAGAAAATTGTAATAATATTATATGTTTTCTGTAGATACATATGCAAGCACATATGTACACAGGAACAGGTTTAAAAAGATAAAACCCAATTTGTAGAAGGAATTACCTCCAGGGAAGATAATGAGATTAGAGCTTACTGGTCTGAATTGATTTTAACTTCATCTGTCAATTTTAATTTTTTGCAGAAGAGTGAATTCCTGAGTTACATGTGTAATATAAAATTAATTTTAAAATGTATGCAACAACCCATCAAATTCTGACGATTTTTATAGTTTCTTTTAATTTATTAGATATTTCATTCAAATGCACTGTTTAATAAAGTTAAAAATAGACCTACACCAGAGGTTTAGTTATGCAGTGGTTCTTTCAAAAACACTATTCTTCCAAGATCTGTAAACTTAGAAGATTAACCTAGATTCCTAAGTCATAATATACATTTCTCAAAACGTAGCACAGGGCAAAATGCTAACACCTGTGGAAGGGAAGAAATAGACATTGTTAACCATTCTTTCTTATTGCACATGAGACTTGCTTTCATTTATTTGTCTATATTTTTTTTTAGGTGTATGTGTATTCTAATTTCATATGGCTAAAATACTTATACATGTGTTTTTCTTTTTATGCATGGAAAATTTCTTATTTTTGTAACTAGCTGAATTTTATGTTATACTGTCATTACATGTATATCTTTGTTTCCTGGGGATAGAGGGTAGCAATCAAGTTAAGAACCCAGGTTTCTGGTCCTGGGTTTGCTATAAATGAGTTGGATGACTTCGAAGTGATTTAATTCTCTGCTCCTCAGTTTCCTCATCTGTGTACAGTGAGAAATTTAGTCTACATCCTTAGTGGGGGGTGAGGGGGATTGAGGAAGGGGGGGAATTGAGGAAAGGAGGATATTCGCTCTAGTTCTACTATTCTGTGATCCTATGAATTTACTTTTTCAAGGAAAAGACCCAGGGCAGCATATATATTTGTATTTTATCATTGTTAAAAGACACTACAAAACATATTGGTTCTGAAACTTCTGATCCTCAGTCTTTTCATTATACTATGTTGCTAGCTAAAATGTCTGCAAAACTTTTTTTGAGCATCAGAAAACTCTTTGTAGAAAAGCATTACTTTATGCAGACAATATGTTTTCACAATGAGAAATTTCATTAAAAAAATAGCCAAATATTATTATAAATAAAAAGTATTCACAAAAGTCAGGATGAAAGACAAAACCACAAAAAGATCAATAAAATTTCTCTGAGTATGTGAAATTAGAATCCAACAATATTAACCAAAAAACATCGATTGCAGTAGAAACTAAAAATATTATGGGGGAGAATTAAAGTTATGTAGGAAATCTAAAACCTCTGAAAATAAAACTATACTCAATCAGATATGGCAATGTGACTATGCAATATATTATACCCAGTAATTATTTCTTAAACAAATAAATGAATAAAGAAATCTAATACACAGAAAAATTTTACCATGATCATTAAATTTTAATGAAAATGACAGAATGCTTTTTGAGGTTCATTAATATTTTTAATGTAATTTAGGGGAAGGAAGGTTTTATTTTAAAGGTGATGGGTTAAAATTCTTTTTTAATCTCACTCTTAAGCCTTGATTTTAGGAATATGGCAGGGGAAAGAGAGCACTGTACTATCTTAATTTAATCAAAGAAGTGGTCACAACTGTAGACTCTGAAGAATGTTTTTTAAATAATGAAAAAAATTTAGACAAAACATAGAAGATGTTTAGTGGCATATTCTTCTTTAGACTTTGGCAAACTGTCCCAATTTTAAAAAGTTCATTCAGCAATCTTCGGTTAGAAGTTTCGGGACATAGTGAACGAGAGAGGTACAGGCATAGGTGAATGTTCATTGAAGCGTCAGGAGAGGGGCAGTGAAAGAGAGGGTGGTGGCGTGCTACTTAATTATCAGCAAACTTGTCTCCTAGATGTGGAGGCTGCTAGAGGTAAGGCAGGAAGGAGAGGGGTGGAAGCAACCACTAGAGATTCTGAGACTTAAAAGTACTGTACTCAGAGCCACACTGACCTCCTAAATTATCTGAAAGCCTGACCTAATGCCCCAAGGGCAGAGAGCACGACAGAGTTGTTGAGAGAATGTTCATACAGCAAACATGAATTGATACTGTAGATTATGCTCAGTTCAGTACCAGTGACCTGCTACACTATTTTTTAGCAAATAGCTGAACTGGAGTAAATGGTGCAAAGATGAATAATTACACAAGTCTGCAACTAATGTATACATGCTGGGCAGAAAAGGAAGAAAGGAAAATAAACAAGAAACAGATCCAAACACCTCAGGAAACAAGAATTTAGAAAAATAGTTTTAATAATCTGTAAGAGATACCATTAAATAAAAATTCAAATAGATACAAGAGATTGGAAAAAAGAAGGTAAGAAAACATCAAGAGATGATGATCTAGTAGAGCACAGGAAAGAAAGAAACCTTCCGCAGAAATTAAAGTCACATTAGAAATAATAAAAAGTAGATAGAGGCTAAAAACACAATCAGAAATGCGGATATGGAAGTGATTAGTAAGACGATAAAGGTGGAAGACAAAGAAATCCAATATGTGCAGCTGAACAAATGAAACAGAAGATATTCAAATATATTTGAGTATTTGTGGAAGAAATTCTTGTAGAAAATATTAAAGTCTACATCAAAAGAGCACACTGCCAGATGAAAAACTGTTGCAGAACAGTTGTTCATTTACCCAGTTGTATTTGTTGAATACTTGTTATGTTTGTGGTGCTGGGGATGCAATAATAAACCAGGAGGACAAGTCCCCCTCTCAAGTCGTTTACACTGCAGTCAGGGAGAAATAGGCATCAAACAAGGAAAGAAATCAATGTGATAATTTCATACCGAGGAAAGTTCTTTTTAAGAAAATAAGACTTCATGATTGAGTGGGAGTTACTTCAGAATACATTTTCAAGGAATGCTTTCCTGATGAGGAGACATTTGCGCTGGGATCTGGAAATGAAAAATAAGGAAACAGCAAAAGCAAAGACCCCTGAGGCAGGAATGGAGGCCAATGTAGCTGGAATTTGTGCAGGAGAATGGCACGCATGAAGTCCACAGGTAGGCAAATGCACTGCAGGCCACGGTAAAGAATTTGGTTTTATGCTAAGAGCATTATAGCAGAGTGATTCAGAGTGTGGGCCCTGGAGATGGACTATGAATATGAGAAATCTAGACTCATATCTTCTAGCTCTGTGACCCTGCACAAGTTGGCTTCATTGTGTGCCTCAAATTCCTCATGTAAAAACAGCAAGCACTTACCTCCTAGGATTGTTGGGAGCATTAACTTAAAGAATTTAGTAAAATCTTTGAAACACTGCCTGGCATGTAGTAAAATTTCAATTAAATGTGAATTGTTGTTACTAACTAATTTACATTTTTAAAGATCTCTGGCTGCCTTGTTGGCAATGCATTGTAAGGAAGTAGCAGCAAAAGCAGTGATTTCATCTAAGTGGCTATTTAAAGTCACCTAGAGGAGAGGAGGAGGCTCAGATGAGGACCATAACAGTGTGGAAAAGAAGTCAAATGGACCGAATCAGAATATACACTGGACATAATCAACAGATTGAATTAGATGGAGTCATTGGACATGGTGGATGAAAAAAGAGGGGTACGAAAGATGAGTCCTAGGATTTTTACTTGAATCCTGGTTAGATGACACTTTTCCTAACTGATAGGGAAAAGACTGGAGGAAATAGGTTTGGATGAGGGAACAGAAGAATAAAAGTTCTATTTTGACCATGTTAAGTGTCAGATATGCATTTACTTTTCACGTGGTGATATCAAGCAGGCAGACATATTTATGAGCCATAGATGTGAATAGCCAGCAAATAGGTAATGCTTAAAAAATCATGGGATTGGATGAGAAGAGCGAGAGAGCTCAGAGACAGTACAAGCAGCACTGAGCCCTGGCATTCCAATATTTAGAGTGACTAAAAATGTTTAGAAGACTAAAAAAGAGTAGTCAGTGAGATAGGAAGTTTTCCAGGTCAATGTGGTGTTGTTGAAAGAACTTATTCAAGCAGTTAGGCAGTGGTCACTTTTATATAATGATACTGAGATATGTAGAGTAAGATATAGAAAGAGAAGTAGTAATTAGATTTGGTGACCTTTTCAGGAAGTTTCAGCAGAGGGATGTAGAGCATGTTGGTTAAGGAAAGCATCGGAGATGAGGAAGTGGAAATGACAACCACAGATTATTCTTTCAAGAAATTTTGTCCTGAAAAGGAATAAAAAAATGTGGCACTAGCTAGAGAGGTAATATGTGATTGAGAGAGATTGTTTTTTTTAAGATAGAAGTTACTAGAGAACATATGCTGAGGGCATGATTTCTTGAAAAAGGAGAGTTGTGAAATCCTAGAACGCAATCCAGAGTACAAGTGCAAGGGCTGGCCTTTGAGAAAAAAGAAAGGTACTTCAGCTGTTGGAAAGGACAAAAGATTGAAAGTGAGGGCACAGACAGGTGGTTCATAGGAGAGAGATGTCTTACGCACTTAATGTGTAGCAGTCATTTTTGAAAATGGGAGCATGAACATACTAGGCAGTAGAGTAGGATTGTCAAGGGAGGGTCAGGTGTCCACTTGACATTTGAGTCAGGAATTAGAATGAGACTTGTTTTCCTGTAGCCTGTCGTGCTGCCCTGGATTAGGCATAGAGTAGGTGGAGGCAGGTGAGCATTATGCAAGAGTGATGGACAGTGAAAATATCAACAATTGGCAATTCTGATGCAGTCCGGAAATTGCCAAAGGATAGAAAATGTAATGCTGGAAGTCAAAATGTCAAAGGAGGTGTAACATCACACCAAGGTACACCCTAGTGAAGTCACAAATTTCAACAACAGGAGAAAAAATATCTGGCTATTTCTTTTTCAAGTTCTCTCAGTAATTCTCAGTGCCAATGGCAGGAAAGCAAAAGTCATCCAAGAATTTGAGGCACATCAAGTTATCTTTCAAATATAAAAGCTATATTGTACATCACCAAACATGAAGTAATTTAGGCAGTAAGCCCAACAAGAGCTCTTTTTGAAAAAAGTAATTCAATTTGGGCAACTAAAATATAAATCAAAATAAAGGTGAATTACTTTAGGGATAAGATTAGATCAAGATGGCAGATCTTGCACCCTCAGATTCTAGAAATAGCAAACTTTTTTGAACAAATTTTTTTTCTAAATTCATAGCTTAATTCATTACATTTAAATGTATTTTTAAATTTCTGTGATAAATGTTTTTTTCCCTAAGAGGGAGATAAATATCTATACCAAGACACATCGTGGCAAATTTCAAAACACTAAAGTGAAAAATCCTTAAAGCTTGTAGAAAGAAAAACCAGATTTCCTACAAATGAATAGTAACACTGAGTAAAAGAAAACAATTGAGCACTATTTTCAAAATGTCCTAAGAGAAAAAAATTTTGAACTAATATCCTGTACTTAATCAAGTGTGAAAACAAACAAAATAAGACATTGTCAGAAATCTGTTTTAGAATATTTACCACCCAGATACCTTCTCTGAAATAATTACCAACCTGCATACTCTAATGTAATTTTTAAATTAATCCAAGGGGAAGTAATAGTATATGTGAAGCAATGGCAAGCCAAGAAACCAGTAAGCCTGGTTATTTAGTATAAATAGGTGCTGATGGTACATTATAAATGTAACGAACCAAAACTTCTAGATCACGTCAACATAGCAGGTGGCACCGGGAGAGAGCAAAGAGAATTCTCATAATGTCATGCCCAGGTACTTGTTATGGCCATAAGCTTTTGAAACAGGTACTTCTTGACGTTAATAGAAAAGTATTCAGTAAGAACGTGTGTTGAAATTGTTTAATAGTTTTCATTACAAGAAGAGAAAGAAAACTGTAACTTCCAAATATGAGTTGGGGGCAAATGCAGGGCATAGGAAACTAGAATGAAAAATGTTGAGAGAAGGAGGCAATAGCACAGTAAATACAAAACAATATACAATAGCGGGTGAGAATTCATACATACCAGGAATAAATAGTTTAAATTGCTAGTTTAAAGGTACTTTTTCAAATTGTTTTTAAATCCAGCTAGTTGCTTTTTACAAGAAATGTACCTAAATGAAAATGTGACCCAGGTTGAAAATAACAGGATGGAACAAGATATTCAAGGCAAATGGTAATAAAAACAAAGTATGTACAAAGTAAATGTCAGTAAATTGAAGACTAAAAAACTTAAAAGTATAAACAGGAAAGGATTAGTTTATCAAAAAGATATAATTGTCATGAGCTCTCTTATGCTCCTAACAAAATAGCTTCAAAAAAATCTCAAATGAGATTTACAAAGTATGAACAAAACAAAAACTCAGTAACCAAGGATATAGAGAATTTTAGTAAAACAATTATGCTTAAATAGGTTGACTTATTTATCACCAATGAGAAGAGCAGAATTACCCAAATTCCTTCACCCATTAACTGCCTTCGCAGACCACATCTGTTCCTGTGACTTTACTGAAAGCCAGTCTAGGAGCTTGTCCTTTATTCCCAGCCTGTGAGGTTATTCATCGCCACCACACAACACCTACCGCCCTCCCGCCGCAGCCTTTCTACCAAGTCACCTCAGCTGACGTCCTCTTTCCCCAAGCTCTCCTCCTTGTCTGATGTCTCAGGGCAAGTCTATCCCTTTCATAGGCCAATTTTCCAATTCTGCATTAAACACCATCTGCCACCCGGGGTAGGCGGGTAGCAGATGCTATCTTAAGAAAGAACCCACCTGGAAGAATGAGGTAAAGTCATAATATTCTCTTATGACTATTTTAAATCCCATCTTGTTAGTATTTTGCTGAAGAAGTTTTAAATAAAAGATAACGTATTAGAAGATAATTTGTAAATTACAGTTTTACAGTACACTCATTTTTCATATTATTTGTTTTTCTAAAGATGAAAACGAATGCAGGGCGAAGCCAGGAATTTGTGAAAATGGACGTTGTGTTAACATTATTGGAAGCTACAGGTGTGAGTGTAATGAAGGATTCCAGTCAAGTTCCTCAGGCACTGAATGCCTTGGTAAGTCGACATACAAATATATTTTACTTGGTAAATGCAACATCTGTTTTATGATGTCATCACAGAAGAGCTCTGCATATGTATTATTGTCAGCTAAAAAACATCCCCCAATCTGAATAATTTACACACCTCTTCCTAAAGATACTCATCTATTAAAGTAACCTTTGTGTGTTGTATGTACATCTATGTGTAATGTAAATAACAATCTTAAGTAGTCTTTCCAAAATTAAGATTAATTAAGCTGCATGGAAAATGTGACTTTAGTGAGACTTACATCAGGGGATGATTTAATTCCAAAAGAAAATATTTGCGATGTGAGGTAAGTTCTGCTGATATTAATGCAAAGTAAAATGCCACATTTCAAAATTGCAATAAATTTTTATATTGTGGGACAGAAAAATGTTTTACAAAATATTTTCTTGTGGAAACTATAAGTCTCAGATGTTATATTTTAATGCTAAAATGCATACATTTTAAACCATTTTTGTTAATTACTGCAGCTGTGAAAGTATGGTGTAGTAAAATTTAAGGCAAACAGAGAAATAAGAGCAGTAATCTGACTCATCACTTGATTTGGCATAAAAAGAGCATGTTTCAACTATATCAGATTTTTCTCAGAATGATGTCATCTGCTTCAAATCCTAGGAAATTTTTATTCAAGAAAATATATTTTGTTTATTTCTGTCTGAAATTTATGCTTTACTAATAATCAATCTTTAGGAAATTGAAAAGAAAACCTACATGGAAAGTGTGTTTTTTTGCTCATATTATTAACAGTTTTGCTAGGATGGCTTATAAAACCATATTAAAGACTTTTTTGCCTGTTTACATTAGAAAAATCACTTTATGCTAGAAAATCTACTCAATCCAAATATTCAGTCTTTTAAGCATAGAAAATACGAGTGTATCATATTCATAGCATAGTGCTGAATTTGCTTTTCAAATCCTGATACTCATTTACTTATTCAAAGGGAAATAATTTAATTTGATTTTCCTTTCATTTGTCTTCTACAGGAATGGTAGCTTACTATCATTTAGATGCTAATAGATTTAAGGAAAATAATAAATCTATTTCTAAAGTACAGTGTCACTTTTTATCAAATTTAATACACTGTCTATGGCAAAAGAACACACTATGAACTTCACCACCAACAAAACTGTAAATAATTCAGCTGTCTTAAGCAGTGTGACTGTTCATATAAAAGAATACTTATCTTTTAAAAAATTATTGCCAAGAAGGAGAGCATTGATTGTCCTGTTTAATTTTAAAACCAAGATAATGAAGTGTCAGTTCCATGAACTTGACTCTTACTTATTACATTGCCATTTCAGACAATCGACAGGGACTCTGCTTTGCAGAGGTATTGCAGACAATGTGTCAGATGGCATCCAGTAGCCGCAATCTTGTCACCAAGTCAGAATGCTGCTGCGATGGTGGGCGAGGCTGGGGGCACCAGTGTGAGCTTTGCCCACTTCCTGGAACTGCCCAGTACAAAAAGATATGTCCTCATGGCCCAGGATACACCACTGATGGAAGAGGTAAGGAGTTGAGGAAATTCATGAATATTATTAATACAGTGGATTACATTAATTAAGATTAATTTGAAGGAAAAGTGAAAATAATAATGTGTATGTATATGTGTGTTTATATGCAGAAAAAGAATTCTCTTTGCTAATGCTTTAAAATTTTTAAAAGATTTATTTTTCATATCAAACCTAAGAGGTAGAGTTTATTATTCCCATTTTAACAGATGAAGAAACTGAAGCACAAAGCTAAGGTAACAATAAGTAATGATCCCAAGATCACATCCTTTTTAAAGGATGGACCCAGGAATGGAACAATCTATCTGACCCTAAAGGCCATGCTTGTAATCCCCAAGCTGTACTTGCCATATTTAAATAAATATTGCTTATTTGTGTGTACACAGGAGCTCATTCTATTTGCAATATATTTACAAACTAGCAAGTCTCATGATTGATTAGTGGTTTCCATTTTTTGGACAACCAACTAATGTACTAGTGTCCTGAAAAACACCATTTTCCTTAATTACTGTACAGATTCCCAAACTGCATTACTGTGCCAACAAAACCTGTTCTTTACAGTCAAATTCAAATGTGAATTTGAGGCCAAATCCGTGGAAAATTGTCACAAATTCTAAGTTACTGAGACTTCAAAGAGGTAGCTTTCTAGATTGCCCTGCACCAAAATTTGTATTTACATTGCAAAATAAGTATTCTTAAACAGGGTTTTCAGCATAGCCTCTCTTTATCTCTTCCCATCACTTCAGACTATTTCTCTTTCCCTTCCGTGTTGCCATTCACCTGAATGAGGAAGATACTCTAGCACTCTTACGCACGTTCGCTGTTCCTCATCCCTAATTTCTAGTTTCTAGTCAATTTTGCCATCAGATATATGTTAATCTCTATTTTTATTTTGTCCTCAGATATTGATGAATGTAAGGTAATGCCCAACCTCTGTGCCAACGGTCAGTGCATCAATACCATGGGTTCATTCCGATGCTTCTGCAAAGTTGGCTACACCACAGACATCAGTGGAACCTCTTGTGTAGGTAAGGCAAGGCACCTCTATGTCTGGCGGGCTGGCAACTACTATTCCCGACAAATCACTTACTGTCAGTGGAGTATCTTTATTATGGAGGTTTGGAATGTACATTTGATTAAAATGATGCCACTTATCTCAATAATGCGGTTCTTAACAACACAGCACTTTGTCCAATAATGTGGGATGCAGAATTGTTCAATTCATCAAAAAAAATTCTGTGCAATCAGGGAAACATAAAAATTACAAGAATACACTTTCAGTGTTTTATATTTTAATTTAAAATTTGTAAGTGCACATATGTTTGTTATTCTTTTCATGAAAGAAAAGAGCTTTGATTATGAATTTATGTGTTTGTGTATATGAAGAGAGTACATTTTGCTTGTTCCTCATCACTACTTTTGGCAAAAAGCAAAGCAGTTAAGCATCATCTAAAATTTCTAGTTGCAAAGCACTCTCACTACAAAATCCTACAATTTTACTATTTCTTTTTCTTATTTAATTTTTTTATTGTCTCACCCACACCATTTTAGGATAATGAGGGTTGGGGGGGACTTGCCCTTACTGAGTTTTCCCAAAGTATTCAACTTAATTTTCATTAAAGAACATATCAGTCATATCAATTATATCAATTATATGATATTCCTTTAAATTACATATTTCAATAGCAAGTACACCTGGCATAAAAAGGTTAAGAAAAACCAGACTGACTCTTTATAAGCCTTCAATTTATTTGGTAGAAATAGAAGGTCATGAGAGTATGGAGAATAGGAATCATGAGCTTTCAGCATTCTGTGGCCATCACCCCAGTATGTTCCATGGAGGAAACGGACATTGTCTGCTATCAGAGTCCTGGCAGGAAAGAAGTTGCATATTCCAATGAGGACAGTTCTAGGTGGCCCTAACAAAGGAACTACCTGTAAGGTGTGAGCAGAGTATGCAGAAGCCACAGGAATAGTGCTGTGCTAAAAGAAAAGAGGGAGTGGCTATTGGGACCTGGAAGGAGAAAGTTGTGCTCAGAGGGCCGCAATGACCAAGCCAGCCCGAGCCCATCTTGCAGGGAGGGAGCTGAGGAAATAAGGACCAGCCAGAAGACAGAGGGCAAGAGAGCCTGCTGATGGCATCCATAGAGCCTTCCAGGCTCAAGAGCAGGGTGGACCAGGGTGAGGACTGGATCTGAAAAGGCAGGTGGAAGATTTCCAGCACAATCCATGATCCCCCAAGGTGCTCAGGGGAGCTTCAGCTAAGAGACTTTGAGAGAACACTCCTACATCTATGTGTCAAAAAAAAAAAAAGAGAGAAACTCTTACTTTTAAGTTTACAATTCTCAAGTTGTAAGCCAGACTAAATCTAAGGAATGTAGTGGATATTTTTGAACCTAGACAGTTGTCTACACATTATAATATTTATCCAAGATCTGTACATTGAGCTACAAAGTAAACCAGTATGTTAGAGAAAAGTGTTCTGTGCATCATTTCTCTTTGGCTATATTCCATTTTTAGTTGAAGGGGGAAAGCAAACAGAATTAAATGAGAATATGGAGGGAGGATAGAAGTTCAATGTTCTTTTTAACCAGGAATTTAATCCTCACATCACTTTTACTTAGACCTTGATGAATGTTCCCAGTCCCCAAAACCATGCAACTTTATCTGCAAGAACACTGAGGGGAGTTACCAGTGTTCTTGTCCGCGGGGGTACGTCCTGCAGGAGGATGGGAAGACGTGCAAAGGTGAGTGAAGAAGAGTCTCTGGCAATTGTGACCCTCTCTTCTTTTAGGTGCAAATATTAGATAATAAGGGATTACACCATGTGCGTCACCTTCATTAAAATGGATCTTCCCAGTGGCCATTTTATTACTTGCAGAAAATTCTATTAAGGGAAAGAAGTAAAAACCCAATTTATAATAGTTTACTTCTTACATAAATTTTTAAAAAATGGAACAAAACCAAACAAAATTTGGGTGAGGAAGGAGATGGAAACAAATCACTAAAATAAGATTTTGGTTTTTTTGTTTGTTTGTTTTAGTTGTCACAAATATTTTTATTCATTTATTTATTTATTTCTATTGGAACAACTGATTGCACATATCTGTGGGGTACAGCTTTGAGTATCAATACCTGTGCGATTTTTTTGTTGTCTCTTATCTAAGATTTCATATCCCCAAGCTATGTCTATTACACATAGACTGTGTGATGCCTGTCCATGCTGATGGTGGATCTTCCCCACCTAGTCCGCTCAAGTTCACACGCTGATCTCCTCTGGAAACACATCCTCACAGACATACCCCAGAATAATGCTTTACCAGATTTCTAGGTATTCTTTAATCTTGTCAAGTTGACACCTAAAATAACCCTCACAAGTACTATTAAAAGTAATTATTTATTAAGCAAAATTAGATCATTAAAATAGCTTCAATACTATGTTCATATACTCATATTTGATTTTATAATAAACCTTATCAATATGAAATTAATGGACTGAGGAAATTTTTTAAATATAGATTTTTCTCAATAAAAGGAGGTTTTATTTCCAAGACAAAACAAAATAAATAAAATAATTTCAAGTGCTGCTACTATCTTGGACCTGTTTGGTGCACCAGTATGGGTCAGTTTAATTTTGCATATCAATTACAAATGAGTACAAATACAGTGATTTTTAACCTATAAAATAATGAATGAGACTTGTCTATATCTTATATTATGTCGTAAATTCATTTTAAGTACATTTTTCCCAATTAAGTTTCAATCTAGCCAAAATCAGATTTTGAGTTTTCTAGTAGTAGAGTCCAAATATTAATACCATTTATGACTAGAATTACAGGTGCTGTGTTTTTGTTCCTCTGATATTAATGATGGTGCTTTGGATCTGTAGAATCTGACTCAGTGTTTGTGTTAGGATCTTCATCAATTTCCAGATTCTGTTTCATTTTTGTTTAATCCCTCCTTTAATAGGAATAAGTGACTAGCCAGGTACTATACTGTGCATTAAATGCAAGATTTATAACCTTTGGATATTAGCTGTGAGAACAGTTGATGAAAACTGCTGTGATTTGGCTAGTTTCTTAAGAAAACATTGTATTTGGGCCGGCCCGGTGGTGCACTGCTACAGTGCGCTGCTTGGGAAGCGCGGCAGCGCTCCCGCCGAGGGTTTGGATCCCACATACAGACCGGTTCCCGCTCACTGGCTGAGCAGGGCGTGGGAGCAACACCGAGGGTTGCGATCCCGTTGCCGGTCCTGGTCCGGTACGGGCGCGACACTGAGGATTGCGGTCCGTTGCCGGACATGAAAAAAAACAAAAAAAAAAAAAAAGAAAAAAAAGAAAACCTTGTATTCGTAGAAGTAGAGAGAAGAATAATGTTTATCACAGGCTGGGAGGATACAGACCGGTTCCCGCTCACTGGCTGAGCAGGGCGTGGGAGCAACACCGAGGGTTGCGATCCCGTTGCCGGTCCTGGTCCGGTACGGGCGCGACACTGAGGGTTGCGGTCCGTTGCCGGACATGAAAAAAGACAAAAAAAAAAAAAAAGAAAAAAAAGAAAACATTGTATTCGTAGAAGTAGAGAGTAGAATAATGTTTATCACAGGCTGGGAGGGGAAGGGGGAAGGGGGATGTAAAGGGGTGGACTAATGGGTACAAAACTATTCTATCTACCTTATGTGAATCATTGTACAGTACATGCATGTATTGAAACAACACACTGTCCCACAAAAATAAATATAAATAACACTGAAAAAATAAAAATAAAAAAGTTGACAGCAACCCTTTCACTTTGACAAAAAAAAAACCCCAAAACATTATGTTATGTATCACCTTAGCCATCCTATAACAGTAGCTCATAATATTTATGCTGTATAAGTATGTGAAAAGAAACTGCTTGCCATATGCATATGGAAGTCCACATAGCTTTCAGCAAAAATCTAGACACAATGTTCCCAATGGAACGTGCACACCTCCTGTGGCTTCATGAGAAAGGATGCGTAGCCAGGTAACCCTGCTGGGATTTTCATTACCTTCTCTTTAATTTCAGACCTCGATGAATGTCAAACCAAACAGCACAATTGCCAGTTCCTCTGTGTCAACACCCTTGGGGGTTTTACTTGTAAATGTCCACCTGGTTTCACACAGCATCACACTGCTTGTATTGGTAAGACAAAATTACAAATGGGAAATTTTACAAACTTTTGGTAGATGCATAAAAATTGTATTTAAAATGGCTGGCCGCTTAGCTCAGTTGGTTACAGCACAGCCTTATAACACCAAGGTCATGAGTTTGGATCCCCATACCTGCCAACTGCCAGAAAAAAAGATAGAATAATGTCTCAATACTTATATTTAGAACAAATACCTCATAAATAAGTGGTCTAAAGAAGTTACTAATTATATTGGTATTTTTTTCACCAGAAAAATATCCGAAGGAAGAAAGGCCTAGAGATAGTTCAAGCACATGCACTGGAAGCATATTCCAAGCAGTGCCTTTATATCTAATTCTAAATACAACTGTGGTTTTCAGATAAAATATGATGTTAGGCTCACTGTGATGTAGAACATGCTAACAAACACACTAGGTTTGTTTGTTTGTTTAATTTTAGAAGACATGTGTTAAGAGACTTTCAGTGTGTATTATCTAAAACCATGCCATCAGTTGCCCCAAAGTTCTAATTTCAAGCCTCTTGAAAAATATTTTTTCTTAACACTTTTGCCTTTAACATGGCAGTGAATTCTGGCATAAATTTCCCTACAATGCTGTTTTCACATTATGAAACTTAGGCTTCCATACTTCACTTTTTACTTTATGTAGTGAAATTTAAGGCAAGCGCGAGTTGCGCAGCATGACCCTCCCCTTCTCTGTGCTTTGCTAGACAACAATGAATGTGGGTCTCAGCCTTCTCTTTGTGGAGCAAAGGGAATCTGTCAAAACACCCCTGGAAGTTTCAGCTGCGAGTGCCAGAGAGGGTTCTCTCTTGATGCCACTGGACTGAACTGTGAAGGTGAGTTTATTTGCTCAAAAATCTTTAATTATTAAACAGTGAACTATATTTCTTTAAACTTCCAAGAGAGTAATTGAGAAATTGAGATAATCTCAAAAAAGAAAAAAAGTATTTAATAAAAAAGGACCTGGCAAGTGATTTTTGTTTATAAATTTTCGTATATCATTTTGGGGGTAGAGAAACAATGTGATGAAACAAAAATTCTGAGATTACAAATTAACTTTTAAGATATCTGAACTGTTAAAATGATCACTGATAAGAAAAAGAATTGAGCTGAAAAAGAATTCTGTGCCCAATATGGTTTGCCCTAGTGTATTCGTAGACCAGAAAAAATAATAATAATTAGGCTTTTGTTCCATGGTACCTAACTGTGTTAAGGTTAAGTGTTAAAAGAAAACCTACCATCGTAGAGATCTGGAGAAATATAACTTATGGCTGTTTCTATTTTATATGGGCTGAGACTCCTGCCTCACTCTGTTTTCTACAATGTGCATCTCCTATAGTGTCCCCTGCAATAGGTATTTCATGTAAAGTCCAAGAGAGCATTTAAGTGGGACAAAATAAGAATCTGCCTGTGGTCAATAAAATATCACATAGTTCTTCAGTATTTACATTGCAAGTGCTAGTGTATGATAAAACAAATGTATGAGGATTGGTATCTTTTACAAAATACCCATGCCAGAGATTATGATTATATACATTCACTTTACATTTTTGTATAGTATTACAATTTATATTTTTATTGATCTTAGTCACCGTTTCAAATTAGTTATTCTTAGAAATACGCAATTTTAAATTTTGAAATATATTCAAGGTATTTAAAATGCTCTCTATTACAACTATGGGACTTTTATATGTATCTCATTTTCAGCCAAGAAAAATTCAGTTTTAAAAATTTTAATATTTTATACTTGAAATCATTGAGACATTGAGAGTATTCTGAACCTACAGCTGCTTGCCACGTGTGAACTCAGCTCGTGACCATTCACATAAGATACCACTTATAAATTATCCATGTAAATTTGTTACACACACATCAGACATGCCAATTTTATTTCACTCTTTATGGGTAGATTTCAAAGCCTCAGTTGTCATTCCAAAAAAAATTCATATATGAACAAAGAAATTATTCCATATGTATAATAATACCACATCTTGTCTAAAGATAACATATTCAAATACTTAAAAAGGATTTGCATCTAATTAATGTTGAATGGTAAAAATGTTTGCGTGCAAAACAACTATTATACTTTTTAGGTATCTCTGTAGTGCTTGTATCTTCCTGAAAATCACTTTTGAATCTACTAGAATATGTAATGCAAATATAGATATATATTACCAAGTAAATCGTACCGTATGCAGTTAATCAATCCAAAATGCACAACATTTGTGGTTGCTCTGGTTGATTTGCTGAAATTAAGACATTATGTAGAGCACTGATGTGCCATGGTCTGATGTACAGCATAAGAACGAGGTGGTTTCTTATCTCGGGGCCATTCTTTGCAACACCACTGACTAATAACCATGCGAGTTGGAAAAATCTAAGCCTCTCTGTGTGCTGCGTCTTGTTTGTTTGTTCCCTGATAATAGTTACTCCACGTTATGTTTGGAATGCATTTAAGAATAGTAGAGGAGGGCCGGCCCGGTGGCGCACTGCTACAGTGCACCACTTGGGAACGCAGCAGCGCTCCCGCTGAGGGTTCAGATCCCACATACAGACCGGTTCCCGCTCACTGGCTGAGCGAGGTGCGGGCGCAGCACCAAGGGTTGCGATCCCGTTGCCGGTCCCAGTCCGGTACGGGTGCGACACTGAGGTCCGGTACGGGTGCGACACTGAGGGTTGCGATCCGTTGCCAGACACGAAAAAAAGACAAAAAGGAAAAAAAAAAAAAAAAAGAATAGTAGAGGAGAGGAGATGTTAAGATTTTGCCGGAATTGTTCTTGCAGATGTTGATGAATGTGATGGAAACCACAGGTGCCAGCATGGCTGCCAGAACATCCTAGGCGGCTACAGGTGTGGCTGCCCTCAGGGGTACATTCAGCACTACCAGTGGAATCAGTGCGTCGGTGAGTGCTTGTTCCTTACACAGCACCTGCTTTTCTCACCTAAAGTGTCTCTGAATAAAATGAGCAAATGATAAGGGCTGAAGTTGCAGTATAGCCTTTGAATCAGTGGTTCAGATTGATGCATGGGAATTCATTCTGCTTACCTCATACTTACGATGGTTGAAAGTATCCATAATAAAAATGTCATTTTTGAATAGACCTAAAAGGTAACTCAACTAGAGGTTTTATCATTTTAAATTTCTGGTACATGTAGTTTTAAGTTCCTGAAGATGGTGTCAAGAATCATCATCTTCATTTGCCAAGGTCAGCTGCTTTTTATCCGTAATTTAATATCCATAGATTTGGAGTTAAAGTATTACCCATCCACTCCCCTCGTGCAAATCTAAAGGAACTCACATCAACTTAATGAGCACAGTTCATCTGTGCTGTCCTGTAACATAGATTTAATGAAAGATGTGAAGTATTTTAACGTAGAAAAAGTACTTAGTTACAGCAAATACTGTTGACAACTCCAGACAAGCATTTGTAAACTGAAATGAGTAGGCACTCAGCTGTGTTCCTTGCATTGATGGTAGTCATGGAAATTCTCCTTTTAAGGAGCAGTGGATCAAAGACAACTTTATTCTCTACTTGAATAGCCAGCTAACTTGCTTAGCATAAGCCTAATTTCTTGGTTCCATTTGAATGCACTTCATAGATACACTATCCAACACATTTTGATGTTAGACGCTGGCACAACTGAGCAATGGTCCTGCAGAGAAGTGGCAGGGTGCTTCCTGTTTCTCTGTAGTGATTTAAGCTACTCCACGCGTCATTCAAATATTGTACTGTAGTGATCCACTAAATAAATTAATCTGATTTTATCCTTGGTGGTCTTCTCAAAAGAAGTTTCTAATGACAGTATAGTGAATTGAGCAGAAAATCAAGATAAATTTCAAAGAAGGGAATCTAACTCTGAGAGATCACAACAATGCTGTGGCCTTATGCCAGGTCAAAGACAGATGCTTTGCCACCCCATGAATACACACTCATGAGAGGAAATACACAAACCATGAGTGATCAAGAAGTGAAGCACAAAGATTTAAAGGTTACCAAATGATCAAGTGGTCAATCAAAATAATTTCATAGATTTAATTCACTTCTTTTTCTCTGTATAGAAGACAAAATGTCACAAAACACTTTATGCACTGATTTATTGATTCATTAACAGAGCCTAAGTGTAGGCACACTCTTTAGAATACAGGGAACAGTACTTTTTAGATATTAAAATAGTGTAAAACAGTTTTATTATATTGCAGTATTTATAAAATATGAGGCCCACCACTTTACTAAATACCAAGGACTTCTTGGTTAATTCAATGGAACCTAAAACAGAAGAATGATTCTTTAATATTTCACATTGTGGCAGCTTAAATAGAATTCTTGTTTTTGAAGAGAACATATATAGTGTATGAACTTAGTTCTCAAGGTTTTTAAGTTTCCTGAAGTTTCTGTCTATAAACATCTAGGGCAAAAATAGCTGCACAGATTTTTACTAAATTTAGAGGTTCTGTTTAGAATGGTCTCACTTAAGATGCTGTGGTATTTCCAAGTTCCCCTTTATGAGATCCTTGGGGCAGACACTACGGCAAGGCAGTCACCCGAGAGTGGCTCACTCCGGTGTCCAGCCAGAAGCCTGTGTGCCTTCTAATCAGGAGAGACCCTATGGGCAGAGGAATAAATGGCTTCAGATATGAATGCAAACTGAAAAATACATGAGCAGATATCCCCACTGGCAGGTATTAATTTGCGAGCCTGCTCCTCAAAATGGCTAACTCTAAGCAGCAGGCTCCTGGATAAGACAGCAGGGATTTAATTCAAAAGATTCTAGATTCTTCTCTGCAGGGTTGAGGAATATACCTGGTTTCTAATAAAATTGATGACTTTCTTGCCTTGAATCCACATAACCAGTTATAACTTTGACTCAAATATATGGCAGAAATAGAGTGAAATAGCCAATCAAGAAACTAGTAAAAGCAACAAGTTAGCAAAAGAACAAGAATTATAATAAAATGAAAATTGAAAGGCCACAAACATTTTTATCTGTCCCTACTTGTGTGAATACCTTCAGTCATTGATGTGATTTACGGGGGATTATAGAACAAAGCATTTCAGACAGATTTACTGGAGTCTCCCAGTAAATGGTCAAAACTGTTGGTTAATACATTAGATAATTTAAATAGATAAAATTGTAAACCTATGATGTTATTAATTCTTCCACCAATTTAAGAAAAATAAAGGTTCATTGAAAGTACTAATATTGAAAAAAGCTTTCAGTTCAAACTAACACTTTAGGAAGTTTTGAGCCATTTCCCAGGGAGAATTTATAACATTTTGGCATATGGATTGTACAGATATATGTAACATTCTCAACTATTTTCAAACATAAATTATTCTAAATTGAAAATATGTGAATATTATTTTCAACTAAACATAAATTATTCTAAATTGAGAATATGTGAATATTATTAACATTTGCATATGAAGAGAAATGTCTTAACATATGAAGCTTTTGTTATTCAATGTTAGTAACTTCCAGTTGCTTCTGTAGCTTTTTCAAAATAATTTATACATAGCTTAGTTGAGGCTTGAGTCAAAGTATGTCTCAGAGAAGAACATCTTTATCTAAATCTATAAAATTTTGCCATGATATACATTTACAGCATATAAATATGAGGCATATTATGGTGCTTCCAAAAATATTGCATATTTTAAAATATTCGAAGAGGCATTTTAAATGAAGTTTATTCAGTTAATTGGTTTTGCCTGGTAATTTTTCTGCCTAACACAATGTTTAATACTGTATTCATGCGGAGATCGTTTCCTTAAATTGTAATCTAATTTAGATTCCCTGTTAGGAGAGAAACACTGCATATGAATGTCAGATCTAATTATAAAAGTAGATGAGCCTTTGTGGCAGAATTCCAAGTCTTTTGTATATAGTAATAAAATAGCATTTATATTTATGTCATATGTAGCCAAGTTATTGGGAATTTATTTATATACTTTTCCTCCATGTAATAAAATTAAGCTAAGAATTTTCACATATTAAGTAATTACAGCATATTTTATATTCGGTGATTAAGAATTCTTCATTTGGTAGTCTCATTTAATTGCGAAACTATAATCATGATACAAATATGTATGTACCTAGTAACATCTGCCCTTTCTGTAACCTCTATCCTGTCCTTAATGAAGTGTAATTTCCTGTCTGAGAGGACTCTTCACCGAGACTGTCTGCATCTTCCGTCACTGCAGATCCTCAGTTGCCTCCTAGCCATGGTGTCCCCGGCATACACCTGCTTGCAGATGGGCTTGTTTCCCCACATGGGCTGAAATATATACTTATATATTAGGTAAACAGACACTCTGTGCTCCACATGGAGTCGCAAAAATTGCAAGAATTCCACAAAACAGATGTGATTTGTGCCCAGAGTAAAATTTGGATTATAATAAAGCCCAAAGGAGTCAAGCCACATGCTGTATATCAACCAGACAGTTAAGAGCAAAATTATAACCTCCAAAGTTAAAAGCACAATCAGGTTTTGAATGTGTAAAAATGATAACAGCAACTGAAATATAACCTATCATTATCCTGCTGTAGTCACTAAACTATTAAAAGCTGTGTGTCAGCTGATGGCTGGATGCAAGCCTATCTCAGAAGGCACAGTCCACATCAAATGCATTCTTAAGCAGTTAAATCTCTGTACTAGGTTATTAGTCCAATAGACCCAATTAAATAGTGTTTATTTTCATTGTTTTCATTTAGGGCTTTTAAATTTTTTATATACTTTCTCTCCATATGTAATAAAGGTTTGCTAGGAGAATAGATACAAAAACAAGTAGAGACATAGATTTTTAAAAATTGGGATATAATTCACATACCATAAAATTCACCCTTCTAAAGAGTCCAGTTAAATGGTTTTTAGTACAGTCTCACAAGGGTGTGCAACCATTGACACTTCTAGTTCCGGAACATTCTCATCACCCCCAAAAGAAACCCCATCCACGATAGCAATCATTCCCCATTTCTCTCTTCCTCCAATCTCTGGCAAGTCCTAATCTACTCTCCATGTCTGTGGGACAGCACAAACAGAATATGGAGGGACATGGGCTGGGCTGGCCGGTTAGATCAGTTGGTTAGAGCATAGTTGTTACAATACCAAGGTCAAGGGTTTGGATCCCGGTACAAGCCAGCTGCCAAAAAAAATAAGTAAATAAAATAATGATAAAAGGGTAAAGCAAGGTTTTTCTTAAAGTCATAATTTAGGGAGTGTTTTTTTATTTCATATGCTTTGCAAATCAGCCATCAGAGTAAAACGATTTTAATATGATTCTGGAGTTATTTCTTCCATAAAATTGTAGGTACCTTGAAACTCCAGCTCTGCCCGCTTCCCTAAGTTTCCCACGTTGTTTTAACAGATGAGAATGAATGCTCCAACCCAAATGCCTGTGGCTCTGCATCCTGCTACAACACCCTGGGGAGTTACAAGTGCGCCTGCCCCTCAGGGTTCTCCTTCGACCAGTTCTCCAGTGCCTGCCACGACGTGAACGAGTGCTCGTCCTCCAAGAACCCATGCAATTATGGCTGCTCCAACACAGAAGGGGGCTACCTCTGCGGCTGCCCACCTGGGTACTACAGAGTGGGACAGGGGTAAGGCAGCCCACCAGCCTCCCCGCACAGGAAAGCCTGGTCATCCCTTCCCCACTGAGTCCAGGCTACGTGACCACCTACCACTGCAGGGAAGGGTCAGTGTTTAAAGGCCCATGAGGCAAAAGTGTTCATCAGAGCTTGTAGGGTGTGCAAATAAGCACCAGGAAGCGACACAGACTGCATGGCCATGGTAGAGGAATTACCTTCTTTGTGGCAAGCGTGAGACTTGAACCTTTATACCTGTATCACTCTTTGCCCTTCATAATGACCAGAATCGATTCAGTCAGACCCAACGCCAGAGAAAAGCAGATGTTTAAAAATGCGGCTCCCGTGTTGCCACAGATGCCTGGGCTGGAAGGTAGAAGTGGGAATGGCCTGGCCCCAGATTCTTGTATGAGTGTTGGCAGGTGCTAGCCCCGCAGTCCCTGAGGGTGGAGTTTGTCCTTCTCTTTGCTCATCGGGCTTTTCTGCTGCACAGAGAGAGGATGGTGTCTAGTTGATGTGGCACCTCTCATCGCAGGCTCATCGCCACGAGGCTGGCTTCCCTCCAGCAAATCACTCTCTCTCAAATCCTGTAGGCTGCGGCTGAGGTACTGGCCACGTGTATCCTTCTATAAGGCAGCGGTGCTCAGTAGCACAGAAGATGGGAATTTAGGAGTCAGTCAGGGTCGCTGTCCTCAGAAGGAGCAGTGTGCAAAGCTGGGGCTGGGGGACGTGGACCCATCTGCCCAACATCGCTATACAATAAAACAAAAGCTTGGTCTTTTTAACTTAAAACAAAGGTTTGGTCTACACAAGGGCCATTTAGAGCCAATTCACTTGACTCTTCCACTAACCAAACTATGAGTTCAGAAATCTCAATTGTTAAAGCAGGGAGCTTCGTTGTGAGCAGCACACACAGGCCTCAGGCTGATGAACTCCTCTTAGCCTTCTCTTTGAAAATTCATACCCTGCTTTTACCTGGCTTCAGTCTAATTAGGACTGAAAATTTGGGAGGCCTAGGGCTTGCCCTCAGAAGAATTTTGCTGTTTCAAAATAAGGGAAAATCTCATGTATTGAGTGATTAAAAAAAAGAGTTACAAAGAGTATTAGGTTTTTCTGTTCATGAGGTTAGAGTTTGCTTTGTTGGTTTCATATTTTTGAAGTGCTTGTTTTACCACTGGAAAACTATGGTCAAAGTTAATGGTAAAGACTAATAATACTTTGCTTCTTGCAAATAGCCACTGTGTCTCAGGAATGGGATTTAACAAAGGGCAGTACCTGTCACTGGATACAGAGGTCGATGAGGAAAACGCTCTCTCCCCAGAAGCATGCTACGAGTGCAAAATCAATGGCTACCCTAAGAAAGACAGCAGGCAGAAGAGAAGTGTTCACGAGCCCCAAACGACTGCTGTGAGTAGATCTCACTTTGTTTTGCCACAAAGTATTATCCATATGGAGTCAAGTATACAGTGCAGTTTATGTAGTTTTCAGCCTCTGTGAAGTTAAACCTATCTTGAAATTTAATGGGTATATTAATGAATCCAATGTGGTAAAGACAAGTAAATTAAAATTAGTTGAATTATTAGCTCAAAACACAAAGGCTGGGGAAAACACTTTAAGATTCACAGTTTCAGATCACTTCCTTTTGTTTTAGTTTTTGATTTGTGCCCTAGGGTATGAGATGTCCCTCTATGAGATGGTTACTTTGAAATGATTCAGAAAAATGAAATTATTTTGAATTTGCTCAGTTCTGTTTTATACACGTGGAGCCTACTAGGCTGATTTTAATTTTCAGCAAATAAGCCAACTAGGTCTCATATTCTGTGACTTATTTGTATGAAAGTTGTTCCTGCCATAAAAAATTTGTCTTCAGATAACTTGTATTTATTTTTCAGGGAACTAAAGATCTAAATTGCCTGCCACTAGTGTTTCCCATCCTTCAATGGCATTTTAACAGAGTGGTTAAAGGGGTCCTCTCCACTCAGTACCTGAGGCATGTTTACATAACCTCTCTCTACCTCAATTTCCTCACCTGCAACATGGAAATAAAAATACTTACCTCTGAAGGTTGACAGGAGGATTAATTGAGTTGAAACATGTGAAGTGCCTGGAATGGTGTCTGGCATATACATTGCACATGTTCAGTCCTTGTCAGGGATTAATAGCCCTTATCTAGAGATGATGATTTCCCTGAAAATTAGAATCAGCGTAAGGTCGTCACTCTCTTCAGTTAATGTTACTGAGAGATCACCTCACAAAAAAACCTAGCTAACAACTAACTGGCTGTGTGAATTGGGCAATTTGCTTCAGTGTTTTGGGCTCAGAAACTTTCCTGATCTATATGATAACACTTCTTTAGCCAAAAAGTTTGTGATCCTATTTTATAATAGCAAATAAGCCCATGTTGCATTTACCCCAAGTAGACTAAGGTGCCCAACTGATGTTTACGTATGCCAGTGGAGATGCCAATCAAGTCAGACTTGGTTCATCTGGGCCCTGCCCCACTGGCTTTTACCAAAGCTCATTCTACTGGAGCCCTTAGGACTCTGCAAATCACTCACTCTGCATAGCACTCATGACTGCAGGTAAACCCCCTCATCATGCACAAGCCTTACAAATTGAAACCAAGCCTTCAGAGTGAAGATTCTTCAGGTTGCAATCTGTGCTGCAGGACATAGCAGTACTCATTTTGACTCGAGGGAAAAAAAATACAATTATTTCCTAAATTGTCTTTTAAAAAATTATTAATAAGCGTGATAGTCCATAAACTCATCCAAAAAACTTAAAATGTGAAAGCTCTCTGTAGGCTCAGTCCTGTAAATTTTAATTACCTTGTTAAGGCTGAGTGAGAAGTCATAAAGATTTACAGGGCATTCTCTGTGGAATTGACCTTTTCTCCCAGATGACAGGAATTTAACAATAGCCTCTTTCACAGCCACTGGTTGTAAGGGGAGTGCAGAAAGGTGGGGGAAGCCACCGCCTGTCCTTGTGGCTGTAGGTAGCCCCAGCAGCAGTTTCCTTTCTAGTCCTCTGCTTGTGCTATAGAAGCTCGTCTCCAGTCATTTTCTGGCTCTCTCCCCAGCTTGAACAGATCAGCCTAGAGAGTGTCGACATGGACAGCCCTGTCAACATGAAGTTCAACCTCTCTGGCCTTGGCTCTAAGGAGCACATCTTAGAACTCATGCCTGCCATCGAACCCCTCAACAACCACATCCGCTATGTCATCTCCCAAGGGAATGACGAGGGCGTCTTCCGCATCCACCAAAGGAATGGGCTCAGCTACTTGCACACAGCCAAGAAGCAGCTTATGCCCGGCACATACACACTGGAAATCACTAGCATCCCTCTCTACAGGAAGAAGGAGCTTAAAAAACTGGAAGAGAGCAATGAGGATGACTACCTCCTAGGGGAGCTCGGGGAGGCTCTCAGAATGAGGCTGCAGATTCAGCTCTATTAATCCTTCACAGACTTGGCTCCAGGCTCAAATCCCAGCACAGCCAGCCTTCAGAAGTGTTTGAAAAGTCAGTGACTAATTATAAAGAGGAAAAAAAAATGACTTTTGTTTCTTTCCTCCCTGTCTCAGACTTCAGAATGTTGACTCTCACAGGGAGAGATAATTTAGATTCTGGTGTGGCCAAAGATTTGAGTACAAAGGCAACCGTGGTTACTGTATTTTTTATATAACTTCATTTAAAAATATATTAAAAAAGAAACGAAATGTTCAAGAGATCAGCATATGGCAGTAAATGCACAAAAATAATGTGAGCTTTTTTTTTTTTTTCCTGTTAGCAGTCTGTAACACTTTGGGTATTTTGCTATAGTTGCTAATTAAAAAAATATAGATGTTTATTTATTTTTAATGCAGTAATATATGGAGAAATGAACAAACTATGTAAACAAAAAGGGAAACTCACTTGTTTTTCTTTAGATTTATAAATTTGAGCTATTTCTTTTAGAGGTGCTTTTAAAAAATTCAGTAGATTCAAGAGATGTTTCCTTTGGTTTTCTGCCAGTCATCCAACTGGTTCGCACCTGATTATTTTAAAGAAAGCCTCACAGAGCTGAATGGGCAGCATAATCAATAATTTTAAAGACATGAATGTCATTAGATCCCTTATAAAGGAGATCAAAGCCAGAGCAGCTCATTGGGACAATATTTCATATCACCAGACACACCAGGCAACGGAAGATGAAGCACAACCACTGTAGCAAAATACCTTGACTGCTTGTGAGACCATTAGAGTTGCAGGCCAGACTGTACTGTATTTCCTTCTCATGACCTCAAGGAACCACATGTGCTACCCACAACACCTCATTCTTACCCAGGGTGCGCTGCGTACTTGTGGAACCGTAGGCAGCTGAAGAACCGCCTTTCCTTTGAAAAGGAACACCTGGCGTTCTGTAGTGTTTGGTGCTGTCTTAGATTAATGGTGCATTTATTATGTTCAAGCTATTTCAGGATTGCCATATGTGCAAACAAATCATGCAGTACAGCCAAGGAATATATGTTGTTGTTTTTTATTAAATCCATTTTTTTAGAATTTTCATTAATACTGTAGTTATACACCATATGCCTCATTTTATCATAGCCTATTGTGTATGAAAGATGTTTGTACAATGAATTGATGTTTAGTTTGCTTTAGTCATTTAAAGAGATATTGTACCAGGATGTGCTAATAATAAGAGTACATCTCCAGTTCTCAACCCAAGAACCTGTCCCCGGACCAGTGACCAAACCTCATATGTGAAATGGCCAAAGTATACACAGATTCCCGGTTGTTCCTCTCACACCTGTGCTGACCAAAGATTAGATCCAGTTATATCCAGTGTTTTGGGTTTTGTTTTTTTGTTTTTGTTTTTGTTTTTAATAACTAAAAAAAAAAAAACCAGTGTAAATTTGTAATCAAGTGTTTGTGAGGAAAAACTTATGGTTTTTGGTTTTGTTTGTTTTTGTAGGTCTATGTATCAAATATGACACTTTTCTCGCAATAAAGCTTATTTTGGGGTAGTTTTGTGGCTGAGAGTTTTATGGGACTAAAACCCCTGTTGTATCTGTGGAAGGGTCCAGGGGCTTTGCTTATAGGGACCTGTATTAAACAACCAGACAGAGAACCAGGCTCACTTACAGGAAGATAAGAGAATGTTGTCAAATCTGTGAAACAACATAAGCAGTAGTGTTCAATTAATAATTACAATTTAAAGTTATATTCAAATAGAAGGACTTAAGGCCGTTAGTTGTTCACTCCTGCATAGTTTCTAAGTTTCCTGGGACCCATCTTCCTAGAGACCTCAAAGAATTTCTTCACTCCTTCCACAGGTCAGCTTTGAATGCAATCATCATGTTAAAGTCCTTTAAGTATCCACAAGGAAATGAAACTTTTTTTAGAAAGTCTTCCTTCTTTAAGGTAGAAATTTTTCTGAACCCAAGTTTTTAAGCAAAAGTAATAGCAGGCATACCCAAGCCAAATAGCATCTTCACCTGAAATAATCCAAAAGTTTCTTATCTCTTGCAATGCTGTCCATTTTACACAGTGAAATGGATTTAACAAGTTATTTAACGTGAACTCTCTTTTGATGCACTGCTGAAACAAACAGAAATGTTTCCAAGAGTCTTCGATGTTAATTCAATACATGGTTTAAGAATTTGTGTGCCTAAATTTTTCATCCAAGAAATAAGAAAACAAGAAAATATTATGACTGATCTTAATGCTGTTCTTTGCCAGTCAGAAATTAGCTGCATGGAATAAGAAAAGCATTTGCCTCGGGGTATCCTTTAAAACTTAACATGCATATTCCGTTTCATCTGGCATCTATTATTGGTACAGCATCAGCGTTGTAATATGAAATTACCTGGAACCAAATTTGACTCTAGCTTTGGATATTGAGCAACACCCTTCTTCATTTAGCTTTAACCTGCTCTTGAGGATGTTTGAGAATCCACATCTCTAGGGACGTTAGAAGAATGTACTAGAAGGAAATGACCACTTCAAGATGCTCCTTCCAGGAGGAACTTTCTCAGGCACCTCTGGTAGCTTTGTTGTGATTCTCTTACTGTGAACACTGACACAGCCGTGATGAATTTACACCTCTCTGATCACCAAGTGCTAATGATATTTTCTATACTATTTTGTCATTCCCATTAATTTCCCATTTGTTTCAGAAATTTCCTTAGCTGAGTTATAGAAAACCCTGCAGAAGACAAAAGTATAATATAAGCCCAGACATATAAACCAAATCCAGTGGTTATATCTATAATAGTAAGCAATAATTTTGTCTTCAGCTGACGAGAATTCTCTTTCCACTTGCATTTAGATTTGGAGCTTTTAAAAACTTTAGTCCTATTTAGTAGCTTTTGCTTTTGCTGCTTACTTGTGGTAGATGAATGTTGGTTATGTTTGCACGTGAACACTGAAAAAATAATTCAGAGTAACATATTAGTGTTACACTAAATTCAAGCATCTGCCCTTTATATCATCTAGGAATATCATACAGGATCATTCGTACAGTCTTTCCCTTCTAAATACACTAAGGTTTTATTTTAAATTAATTGCCTTCTTGGTCCACAGAATAAAAGCTTAGGGTTGACAGTGAGGAATAGAACTAAAAATTATAGCGCATCAATCTTCATATATTAAGTTGAACCATGTAAAATCGTCCATACGTGGCCATGTTTCACCTACAAAATAGCAATTTCATATGGTTCCATTTAATAGTTCAGAAATATTCCTTTTCTTCAAGAATAGACTGGAAGTCTGAAAATCTGTCTTCTCTTCAAAAGACAATAAATTCCATTCACTCCTGTCCATGCCGCTTGTGGCTCATTTACACTCCTAATTTGCAATAGACCACAGGAGAGTATACGTAATTTGTTCAGACCACCACTTTCTTTTATGCTGCAAAGACATTGGGAAGTCTAAACCACACATCTTCAGGACCTTCATGGGATTTCTAGAAGCTGTTTAAAGACAGAGGCAAATCTATTGGGAAGGGTTGGAATGTAGCACAATGTTTTTAAAAACGGAAAAGGGGGAAACTTCAGGGATCTTCACCTCTAAGGAGACAGGGAGAGAGATGGAGATTCATTGTCACCCTACAGGATATAAAGGTGACAACAGTGTTTGCAATCTCAACACAGCCTGCATTTGATATCTGACTTCTGGTTCCTTTTTTTTTTTTTTTTCAATTTAAGCATGCTTGCTTTCTCAAACATAAAGTTATGGTTTCCTTGTGTAATAGGAAATGTGTATTTCTGGCCCTAAGTCTCTTTGAAAATCCTTTCAGTGTACAGAGCAGTGGAGTCCTAAAATACAAGGTAGAACTTATTAAATTTAGCAATTCAACCACAGAGGCAGTATCATCTTGTAGTTTAAAGAAACAGACTTTTGAATCAGGCAGATTTGGACTTTAATTCCATCTTCTTGGACAGTTACATAACCTCTCTGAGCCTTGGGTTCTTTCCTAGGATGATCTTTCCTTACAGCGTGGCTGAGAGCATCGAATGAGAAGGTACAGGCAGTGCATTAGCATGGGCTCAGGAGACAGCACGCACTTGTAACTGTCAGCTGCTCTTCCTCCTCCTCCAGCCATTGTTGCTATGACCACTGCTAGAAGAATGAGCCCACAGATTCACAGAAAGCCCTTTTTTAAACATGGCCCTAAAACTACTGCCTTTCCTTGCCATTGTAGCAACACATGCAGATAAATAGCATCCAAGTGGTCTGCACTTCCAGGAAATCTTTTGAAGTCCTGGTGTGGTCACGAGCATTTACAATCTCCACATTTCTCTTCACTTACCTGGAATCATGGGATACAACCCTGGCAATCCATGCCACACACACGGCCAGAACCCTCATGTCCACAGACCCCCAGAAACTGACCATGAAGGAGAATGTGAACATTTGATAATCTCTTTTAGGATGATTTGATGTCATGCAATGTCAGAGCTAGAAAGGCCTTTAGAAGCCTACTCCTGTTTACAAATGAGGAAACTGAGGTCCAGAGTTGTAACACAGTTAATTGCAGTGCTCATATCTATGGAGGTGAGACCAGAACCCTGGTTGCCTGGTTGCAGTCTGGTGCTATTCATATTTCCAATACATGGTAAGCCTATTTGGATCTCTTTCAAACCTTGAGGATATGGGCCAGTTCCCATGGTTTTGGCTCATCCTGAATCCAAAAATGTTTTCCAAGCACGATTCAAGCACTGCTTTTGTTTTGTCTACCCCACCCTCTGTGTAACTGCTCCTAACCTCATATAAACCAGACATTTGTGTATGCACTGAAATGCTGGGATATTGGCTGCTACACAGTAGGCCCCACCCAAGACCTGTATTTCTTTAAATACACATTAGAGTGCTGGCTTTCAAAGGGTTAAATTTTTTATTTAAGCCAGACCTTCAAAACTTTAAAAACACATACACATTTGTTTTCCTAAGAATGCTGAAGGAAACTACACTGGTTGCTTGTATTGCTTAATTGTCTTTTTTTTTTTTTCCTTTTCCTGTGGACCTAAAAAAGGTATTACTAGATTAAGTTGGCTTACTTTTGAAATAGCCAAGAACCTGCAGCTCCCATTAGTCACCCGCATTAGGGCTGCAGATTAAATGTCAGGATGTAGTGTAGACATTTTCCAAAGGAAAACAGGAAAACTCTGTTCATGATTTTTAGAGCAAACTATAGGGGAAGTACACATTAATAGCCTTCCTCAGACAGCTACTTCTACATGTGTGACTTCTATTAATGAAACAACAGTAGAAGCTGTGAATGGCCAATTCCTGAAAACATGTCAGAAAAGCAGCCTCTTGTCCTGCTTAAGCTGCCGAGGTTTCCTTCCCAGGGCTCCCTCCCTCTGCTCTACCTGACCCAGCTTCCCTGCACTGAGGGAACCCTCTTCTGTAATGGTGGGTATGGAGCTTCATGTCTGTGCATTTGTGACTATCAGGCCTAACACAGGTCCTGAGACCCGTGGCTGTGTATCAGCACCTGACAACTCAGCCTGGGATGAACCTGTGTCTTAGTCATTCTGGTAAACTTCACAGTGGCAAGTCCAGGAAATGCTCAGTGAATGAGTGGATAAAGGGAGGGAGAGGACTCTGTCTCTCTGCAGAGTCCAGGCTTATGGACCACCACGGGGAGTCAGACTTCATCCAAGGAGTGGGTGCTTTCACAGCAATTATTTTACCAGAAACCCTCTGAACAGATTTATGGGGATCATTCTGGGGTATCTTCCCTTCTTTCAGGAAAAGTTTCTTGACTTATGCTGCTTTTCTGCAGCATTCTAGAGAGCCCCATGGGTCTCACCCCAGAGGGGAACAGGTTGAAGAGGCTGTTGGGGCAGGTCAACTGCAATTTGGATTTGTCCCAGGAAGGTACCCCTGATCCAAACCTGGACAGAGGCTGCCGCTTTTTCTGCAATGCAGGGAAAGAGGCACAATAACCTCTCTTCCAAGAAAGACATTAAATAGGTCTCATTTTTGTTTTTTAATGTTTTGTTTTGTTTTTATTGGTTATGAATATTCATGGGGTACAAAGCAAATTGTCACCACTCATGCTTAAGATGTGATGGCCAGATCCATACTGGCGGCATGTCCATTACCACAGGTTTCATTTGATGAAGTGAACATTTGTTGTGTATCTATTACCCAGACCTATTCCCCCTCCAAAAGCTTAGAAATAATTCTGAGAAACAAGATAACCACATAAGGTTATAAGATACATACTTAAGGGCCACAGTGGGTATCTCAGACCAATGACCCAGACTCTTGGAAGAGTGCTCAGTGAGATGTAGAACTACTGGAGAAGGTCTTCTGGAAGTGGCAGGAATTGAACTGGGCCTTGTAAAAAGAGGCAGATTTGTATACAAGGCAGAGAGTAAGAAGGAACTTTCTGGAAGACAGAATAGCATGAACAAATGGTTGGAGTCATAATGTGGATGGTGTATTGGAACTCAAAGAAAAAGCCAATGGGCCTTGAGTGATAGTACTATCTATGGATTCAACCAACCACAGC